ATTGTGATTGATTATCAATCTAATTAGTATTTAATCAATTGACGTTTTGATTAAATTTTTTCATTGATTGATGGCCAACTGTGCTGATTGGTGTGGTGACACGATACAGGAGCCACAACACCAATCAGCGATCGATACTATCGATCGTCTTTGATTGGTTGGTGTGATAAAAATGATCCATTATATCATGTTACAGTGATCGCCATGGTAAGAATCGTTATAAAAGTGTCTATAAGGATCAGATATATTTTACCATCAACTGAGATTATAGACAGTTGATAAGACAATTATATCAAATACGGCAAAATATTGTATTGTTACGAAAAGTCTTTTATGAGAGGATTTAAAATTCTCAATACTGTTCGTATGAATATAAATACTATAATATGGATTTTACTTACAAGGCCACGTTTATCTAACAAGCGGACTTTAAAACAAGTATCTCAGTACTAATACTTAACCATTTTATACATTGTCGTATTTATAACAAAAACGTCACACAGAAAATAGACGGAATCTGTACTGTTTTATAACCAGACTGCTTATAAACGTAGCTTTATATAAATAGTTACACACATATGTTGATAAAATAAGCCGAGACGTAGTACAAATAATCGTGCTCATTACACTATTATATGTTTTAGGTGGGAATCGAACCCTTGACCTATGGTTGAGCAGTCAAAATCTCTAAAGAGTATTCCCACAGGCCAGTCATAATAACAGTGTTTTCATCATTCCTCAGAAAAGAGGTTTTGGCCTACTATATCACGCTGGCCAGATTGGTATAGGGTTAGTGTCAAGTTTTCCTACTTTCTGCAGTGCTATTATCCCGCGTAGCTTGCTACCTTAGTCGGCTCTTACGACGGGATGTTAGGGGTGGTGACATTCTAAAATCTTAATACGCCACCACACATAAAATTTGTAAGTAAAAAAAATCATTGGAAGGATTTATTTAATCAAACCACGAAATAGAACAAGTGGTGTCGTGGTGTCGTCCCCTTGACAAATATTGTTTGATTAGGTACTTGACTAAAACCAATTTGGCCAGCAGAACAAACTGTTAAATTAGCCGGCTGTTAATTTCACTTCTCAATCAGCACCTTCACCTCAAAATAGGATTTCTACAGTCGCGTGCTAGAATATTTAAATATTAGTAGTGCATTGGTCTTGACTGTGGACTTAATAATAGCATTTACAAACACACAAGTAATATGGTGATTAGATAAAAGTTTTCCTACCTTCAGGTTTTCCTACAGCTATTAGCATCTTTACAGTAAACTTTTAATGACATAACTGTTGAATAAATCACACACACTTCGATTATCCTAAACAATAGGACTGCAATATGTTATTTGAACTTAAGAATCATTAAAAAATTCGTTTCTTTCTTACTTACTATCTGCCTACGGTAGATAGGTACTGTATTTACTTACTGTACCGGAGACCTCTCTTTTTACTTGACATTGGCGTCATACAGGTTCCGCACAGGCAAAAAAAAATACTATCTATCTTTGTTGCAAGAATGAGGATTTTTTTAATTGTGGCCGTCCGAATTCTTGACGCAAATGTTAATAGGGAATATTTTAGACAGTCTAAAAGAATAAATTTAATTTTTGTTACGAAAACGGACAAAGCAAGGAATACTGCAAGTGTCAGAACTGTAGTAGTGACCCGTATAATGGTCTTGTGAATCGAAATACCATAGGTCAGGGTATCTTGGTTTCGTGCAGAGCGAGAGTGCGTGAACTCCGCCATCTCCTTCTACGAGAAGGTTATGCTTGCCAAGGAGATGGCGGACAGACACCAAGAGTGGTTCAGAACCCCTCCCGGCCGCCAGGCCCGAGATCGGGCTAGGTACCGCAGATGGCTCGGGCTCCGGAGGACGGAGGTCGTAGAGCGACCCTCGTCCTCCATAAGCGCAGGCCTGAGGGTGACAGGTGAGGCCATCTGTCACTCTAGCAGAAGCAGGCCCGGAGTGAGTAATGGCGCGGCGCGCTACAGAGAGCACATGTTCTTCGGGGCAAGAAGGGACATCCACACAGAAGGGGTCATCTATAAGCCGTAGATGGCGAGATACACCGGGGTACCAGGGCTTTTCTTTCTAGTGTATACCTGGTTCGCCGGCTACTGGTACCTGGAGACGGCGTGCGGTTTTTGGTCGGTTCCAGTCCGACATAATAATAATAATAATAATAATAATAATAAAGCCTTGTTTATTCCTTAATAAAACTTACATAATTTGGTATTACAATTCGAGAAATTAAAATAGAAAAAATTAAGATTAAAATAAATAAGATTTTAAAAATAACTATAATAAAATAGCCAACTCGAATTAAAATTGATAAAATACAAAAAAATCATTACATGAACAAAACTACAAATATTATTAAGTACATGCAAAACAAATAATTATTATTAAGGACCTCTTTACAGAGTAAAGGCCTCCTCCAATTTTCTCCACTTATCTCTGTCTATTGCTACTTCCATCCAGATATTTCCCACTGTTTTCAGTATTTCGTCGAGCCACATCTCCGTTGGTCTACCTCCTTTTCTCTTTCCTGGTGGCCCTTTCCAAGTGGTTATCTTTTTTGTCCATCTATCATTTTTCATACGTGCCACATGGCCGGCCCATTTCCATTTCAGTTTTTTACAGTGTTGTAGAGCATCTATAACTTTAGTTGTGTTTCTCACAAATCCGGTCAGTCCGACATAATCACCCAGAATTCCGCACAAAAAAAACTATCCATCTTGGTTGCAAGAATGTGGATTTTGTATCCGTGTTACCATCTTAAACAAACCTAAAAGGAAAATCTGCCTAACAGAGGTTTTTAAACTTATCGTTTTATATTCAAAGCGGATCCTTATTAAAAGCGACGATACTATATTTATCGCATCCTGCCAAATACCATTTGTATGCACAAAAAATAAAAGATTCCCTTTTTAAACTACACGATTCGAATAATAAGTAGTTTGTACGTTCCCACAATAAAAACGAAATATATTGTATCAATTATAAAGTTGATACATTTATCCAATGCCAAATTAAAAATCGGTCATCGTCCCTTTGTTCTTTGTTCTCGAGTCCTTGTGACTGTCTCGCGCAAATGTATTTCAAGCAAAGCTGTTTGCTTGGAAAGAACCAAATTTTTGAGCGTGAATAGCAATACAAACACATTATTATTTAGGCTTATAACATATGGTCAGATTTCTTCATGATTTATCTTTAAATCGATGATTAATGGTGCGGTGCGACAAGTGCACACACTAGTGTGCAATTGTCACTAACCACGTTGTGAGTTCGATTGCCGCTCATTTGTATTCAAGAATATGTCTATTTACATTGGTCTGGATGTTTGCATGTAATAGGTATGTGTGTATTCACATAATTTTTATATAGGTATGTTTGGGTTAAAATAAAAGGTGATTTCTGAGGCGATTTACCTATTTATTATTTTATTTTTAATCTACCCACATGATAGCGACTTGGTCATACGTGTAATAACGTTACACATCTAACACACGGCAGTCTGATCGCACTAGGCAGAGCCTGTATTATGTTAGGTAGATTGCTAATAAACATACTTATTTATTTCTAAATACATACATATTGTAGTTAAATATATATATTATAATTAAACTCAGGCACAGAAGGAGTGATCGTGCTCAACACGCAATGATTTGTCCTGGGTGGAAATCGAACCCACGACTTCGGGTTTAGCTGTCAGAATCACTAACCACTAGACCAAGAGATTCGTCCTATGTAGTGGAGAAATACAATTTAAATCTTTAATAGTAATCCTCTAATTGTAAACTAATAATAAACTAAAATAGTCTAGATTTTTCTTTTCTTTACCTCATAAAGTTAGCTCATAACAACAACAATCTAGCCTTGCCGATAGGCGCCGTTATGAAAAAGATGATAAGTATTTACCTGTTTTACTTTAAGTGCTTCTAGAAATTACATAATTAAGAATCCGTTGATTGATCAATCTTCTTTTATTTAATCTCTATAAAAGCAAGTCTCTATTCTTGCGCCCTGTCAGGAGAGCTTTTACTGCAGTACCTACATGATACTTATTTCACGTAACTAATTTAAAAACCTTACATCTTTTTTAGCAATTTTATTGTTTAAGTGGCATCCACAAATTTATTAGCTTTATTACAAGTATGTTCAAAAATATTTTTATTGTTTATTTAGCTTTAGTTTTACACTGTTTATCAACTCGGACTACGACTTCCAATCACAAGTCTGAAAACCTTAACACCGTACTAGCATTATTTTTACTAGCATTAGTATCACAGTACTTTCTACGTAGTAAATTTCGACCTACCTGCTAACACTGCAAGGTCGATCTTTACTTGATCGACGCTTTGTTTGTGACTTGCAACTCTTCTTTTAAGGTCAGGCGCATTTTAAACTTTTTAAAACTGGAACAGACTCGAATATTCTATTTTATCATTTCCGTGGCACAAGCTAACAATATATCTAAACATAATACGTCCATGTAAAAGATCTAATTGATAAAAGTATACAATACTCGAATTTACCTTTTATGCTAATATATTTTTTATCTTATACTCGTAAAATGTATGCAAATTAAAATTAAAAAATTGGTTATGATAACGAATTAACGACCTTCGGCTTTTTCCTTTCATATACTATGAGATCTTATTTCCATGCCCTTGTTTCAAAGCATTCTGAGTCAATGAGAAGTACTCTCTTGTTTAGAAATTTGAATATTTTATCGTTGATAATGTCGAATGTTCCATTTGGTTAAAATCTAAAGCTAAAAAGCTTGATATTTTACACCTACAACCGACCACAGACATTAATTACTATTTAATCTTAATTTCAACTATTAGAGTACTTACAGAAAATATTTTCTGTTTTGCGTAATGTAGTAATTATATAAGGGTTTTTGTTGAACTGAACCCTAAAAACCAAGTGATTAAGAGCTATTGTTTCAAGTAAAATAATGTTTTTTTTTTCTTTTTTTCAGAATATTTTAGTGCTGTTATGTTCCTTAGCCGTGGTTATCGGCCAGAAGGTTGCAGGAGAGACAAACGGTGACCTTCTTGATGGTCAGAGCCGTAATACAGGAGGTTATGGGTTATTAAAACCCGGTTACGGATCCGCCGGTTTCAACGGCTATGGTGGTTCCAATAGTGGATACGGCGGCGGCTATGGCAGTGGATACGGCAGCGGCTATGGCAGTGGATACGGGAGCGGCTATGGCGGTGGATACGGAAACAATTATGGCAGCGGATTCGGTGGTGGTTACGGTAATCCCGGTTACGGCAATTCGGGGTATGGTGGATATCCAGGTCAAGGAGGATATAATAGTGGATTCGGTTAGTATGTATATAGTATAATTTTACAGACAATTCCGTAGATTTCTACAAAACGGTTTTTTAGTGCTTGACAAATAGAATCGGAAAGATTTTTAACTTGAGTAAATACATTAAACTACTGTTTAAAAAAAATTGCAATCACGTAGTTGTCTATTCCTTTATTGTGTAGAAAATGGTTATTATTTGCGGGTTTCATTTCTGTATCTATCAATAATTTTACTGAAGTAATACACTCGATACAGAGTGACTACATATTCATTAATTAGTTTAAACTTCATGGCCCACATATTAAATGAGATAAGTCACTATAATCGTTTGGCAGAACAAAATGATGTGCTGATATTAAAAATTTGTAATGTAACTTAGACGCAATATTTTGTACAATAATTATTAACCCCCACACTACTGGATAGGCACTATTGTACTTCATATAAAATAAAATTTAAACCAAGAATAACGTTAGTTGGTAGAACAATGTTTTAAATACAGTTAAAACTATAAATCTCTGTATGGTCAGGTGGATACGGCGCGGGCGGTGGCTACCCGGGCGGCTACGGAGCGGGATATCCGGGCTACGGAGGTGAGCATAATCCACTGGCATCAATCCAATCCTTTTTACAGCAATAATTTTTATTTTAAGGAATACCGGTAATATAAACTCTCTGCAGCAGTTTAGTAAAACGCTTTGAAGTAATAATTGTTGCTGTACTATACGGACCAAGACTAAACTTGTCTGAACTTTGAAAGCAATGTATTACACGGCAACCACGGCAACTATTTGCTGATTATCGAGATAATAATAATATTATATTGTACGCGATTGATATTGGTACCTATATATATTTTACTACATAGTAAAAGCAAAAGTTCATTGATTCAAGTAGGTTTCGCAGTCTTGGTGTAAATCGGTGTTAATTCGGAATAGAACCAACTAAAATCACACGGCATTCCATTACATGGTAGGAAGTACTCTTTCCGCTACAAATAGAAATTGTCAGACGTTATTTTTTATTATTCGCGGTGAAAAAGACCACCTTCGTCATCTATGCAGCGCCTTAGCCGGTAGGAGCTGGCGGGCTGCCTCGGCTCCCAATCCTTCATGACAGATGGCCTAAAACTCTCTTTCCATTCCGATATTAAAGCCTAAGGTAATGGAGACAGTTGCACCTTTTTTTCCCGAAGAACGTAGGTCCCGTTCAGATGGTTGTCTTCCAATTTTTAACCAATGACGCTAAGTACTATTCAATTAAAATGCACACCCTAACCGCCGTAAAGAATACAAAGCCAAATCAAACATAAATATATAACAATTCGTTTTATGAATCATTGAAAGTCGCTAAAGGCATTGACATTAAATCTAATAAGTAATTCGTAGAACACAATCAAGCACTCGCGGGGTTAGTGTTCTTGAGGACGATATAATCTAACAGCAAGTAAAGAATTATGTTTATCATTTTCGTGGCTCTGACGTAAAATTAAAATACATGTCTACGTCTAATTGACCTAATTAGATAGCATGTTTCAGCTTCATTCGTTTTGAGTTTTCAAATAAGAGTTATTGCAAACCTTAACGCTCGCTGTAACAATGACAAAACAATTGACAGGAATTCTAGAGAATATTACGTGGATGTTTTAAATGCATTACTTTTAGATTGTCAAATGTGTGTAGGAACGGGTGTCATATCCCTCCAACACAGATGAGGGTCCTCCGACCGGGCGAAGTGATCATGCCTGGCCGGCCGTTGATGTTGGGAAGTTGTATATATCGGCGAGAGAATTCTTTTTATCGCGATACAGGATTACAAATTCTCGTTCAGGAGTAACTCCTTAGTTCGATGTCTCTTCGTTAGATGGCGCTGTAGTATGTTTCTTCGTTTCACCGTATGTGAAAGTCACCACAAATTTTAGTGAGGTTCGAAATATAAATCAAAACTTGACTTAATACCTACATATAAAATTACTTACCTTGACTGGTTGACAGATTCATCAACGCAGGGTCTAAGCCACTGGGGCTATAAACTTTAATTTTTGTCAGCTGATGCTTTTTATGTTGTAACTTCTTGAGATTACCTTACCTGCTGTTTTTAATTTTTATACGGCAGTATTTATGAGGAAAATGTTACAACACATATTTATGTATTGTAACATTCAGGTAAACGAACCTAATATGGGTTTCCATATCAGGTTCTTCAGAATATCCTACAAATTACTGCTTAGTGCCTACTAATAAATCTGACGTCCAGCGTGATGCAGACACTTAAATGCTTCCGCCGATAAAATTACAATTATACAATATCAACACGGAACTAGCTCAAAAGCAATTAGGAACACGAATTTTACACCTTGCATCATTCGAGGCTGACTACCACTTATGAAAACTTTATTCTTACAGAATAAAGTTTATGTTATTTTATTTATTTATTTATTTTATTTATTATGCCCGAACGTCATAAAACGTTTCAGTGAAACCGTTTTATGTCTGTGTTTATTTCATTCAGCATTAGCATAGCATTTTTCAAACATTCTATTTTAATTTTGGAATTTTGTATGCTTGTTTCGGAACACAATACACAAAATCAAATGCACCTCACACGCCAGGAATGGACCTGGTATATGGCTATTCACTTATTTTGATATTACGCCTGTGTCTTCCCACATGGTAAGCGAATAAAATTGAAGTCATGAGAAAACCCATAAGAAATGTCAAATTATAATATCTAATAATAATAAAATTAACCTTACACACTGCTGTCTGATCCCAAACTAGGCAGAGCCTATGCTATGGTAAACTTACTTTTATATTTCTAAATACGAAAATATTATTACAAAATAAATACAAATTAATTATAATTTTAAAGTGTTTAACAAAAGCTTTTTATTTCACAGGCTACCGCCCCAACAGACCCAGCTTTGACTACAACCGTCCAGGTTACTCGGGCAGTACATTTGGATCCCCAGGAAGTCAATACAGGCCAGGATATAACCAGTACAGGCCTGGTTTCGACCGTCCTTATTCTGGTAGCCCTTCTTCAAGCGGCAACTACTTCAGCGGCTTTGGTGACGGTTATGACAACTTCAGACTCCTTGGCAGACAAGTGGCAGACAGTGTAAAGGAAAATGATGAAAAGGCGTAATATTAAGCTGTTATCTGTTGGTAAATAATTAGTTAATAGTATTTAAGATCTGAATTTATTTGTTTCATTAATATTTAACTAAAGAATTTACAGTTACAAATTGTTTTTTTTTTCAATACCTATTTGTCTTGTACTGTTTTGTTATTAATTCTGGGTTCATATTTTAAATACAGTACTTCATGCAAATAAATTTCTAAATACTTGTTCAGTAGAACGAAATATTAGAACAGTAGTACAAAATTAAAATGCCGATTTTTTTTTAAAGACAACTCCCGCATTAGGAATGTATCCTGTGTCGCGGGGGACTTTACAAACATACATGAAACGGACACAAAAAACACCCACATGTGAGGTTTGAAGCCACAACACTCGGCGCAGTAGGAAGCGGCGTGGCGACCGCTTAAACCACTACGCCATCCGTGCAGAATGGTTGATACAATTAGAAATGTATGAGTGAAGAAACGAGATAATTACAATTCTCACACATGTAAACTTATAGTAATATACTTACCGGAATAACACACATGGAAACCTGACAAGGTATTTCCTTAGACGAGTGTACCTAGTTGGCCGTCGATATCGAGTTATCAAGGTAGGTATTTCGAAGTGATAGTTATCCATACAATTAGTTCTACAGTATTTTCTACCATATTTACATAATTTGTATGTCTATCTTATCACTCGCAGAACTATAAATAAAGTGTAATTCCTTAAAATCATGTTATGCCTACCTTAAATCTTAAGCTCGTCTCACTGCTTACGAACATCCCTCAGGTACTGAATTGATTTTCAGTAATACATTTTCGACCGTTATAAATATAGGGTAAATTTTAGGTTATCATTATCAACAGCCCTTTATAGTCCACTGCTAGACATAGGCCTCTTCTTAGAAAGGAGGTTTTGGCCTACCATACCACGCTGGCCAGAAGGGTTGGCATAGGGTTTCAAGTTTTCCTTCTCTTTGCAGTGCTGTTGTCCTCCGTAATTTGCTCCCTTAGTCGACTCTTACAACACCCATAGGACACTCCGTATTCTTAATCCGTCACCACACGAAACAAAAGGCTGAGAACTATTTATTTTTTATTGCATTTAAAATGATTAATAAATACATTATTTATTGCAATAACAATTATAATTAAAACAATTAAAACTTAACTAGAGCCACTGAACCAATCTGACGTCATAGAGTTGAAGAAAGACGCTGCTCCTGACCGTGCGTTGGCAAAATTGATTGGCAAAGAGCTAGACATGAGGTCCGATATGTCGGATCTAGACTTGTTAGGACTTGACGAAACTAGTTTCTTTTTAATCTGAGGAAAAACAAATAGTGTTAGATATCTAATCAAATATAAACATACACATTAGTTTTATAATATAGGTTAAATAGAATAATTAAAATCACAAGGCAAGAACATAACAACACGTGCCGTGTACAGCAGCCAAACACTTCGAAATAAATATTGTCATGCAGGTGAGCTTTGAAGTGAAATAAACTAAAAAAATAAAATCAAACTAATCTTAATATCATATTTTTTTTGTTTATTTTTTTAACTCCGGACTGATGATAACATCAACCCCTGAGTTGGATCCCCTATTCCAACTTATTACATACTAGTATAACAGAATTACCATGACTGCTTTGTTTAATTATCAAAACTTTAATTTTTCTCACAATGTATTCAAATTCAATCTCAAATATGCTGATGTTTGAGATATTAATAGATTTAAAAAAAAACGATATTTCATTATTAATTCGTCATGTATCGTCGTCGTCATGTATAACCTCGGGTATTTTTCCTGATGCCCTTAAACAGTCAATTGTAAAACCAGTGTTTAAGAAACAGGATAGGGAGCTTATGGAGTATTATAGGCCTATTTCTTTAATTCCCATATTCTCCAAAATATTTGAGAAATTCATACATACGCAACTGTACCTATATCTGGAAAAAAATAATCTATTGTGCAATGAACAAAATGGATTTCGTAAAAACAAAACCTTGAATTTGGCAATTTTCAACTTTCTTCATGAAGTTATGATGAAAGTAGACAAACGAACACCTGTATGCTCAATATTTTGTGATATGACACAGGCATTTGATTATGTAAAACATGATATATTAATTAGAAAACTATATGCCTATGGAGTGAGAGGTAATGTCCTAAAGTTATTCGAATCGTATTTGGAGAACAGAAAACAACGTACAGAAATAGCAATAATAAACCCCACTACTAAACGAGAGGAGCTATATCTTTCAGATGAGCGGAAAGTTTTGTACGGTGTCCCTCAGGGGAGCGTAATGGGACCTTTGCTTTTTATATTATATATTAATGACCTTCCAAAATGTACAAAAAATACTGTAACGCTTTTCGCAGATGATAGCACAATTACTATATCTTGTAATAATGATATAACTCAATATAAATATGACATTACGAATTCCTTGACATCCATAATAAACTGGCTTGACATTAACAATTTAAAAATCAATTTAAATAAAACTAAGATTATACATTTCAGTCAACGGATCGCTCCAATCAGTTATATATACCAAAATATAAACATTGACAATCATAGTATAGAAAATGTAACGACTTCGAAGTTCCTCGGGTTAACGATAGATAAAAAACTAGATTGGAAATCACATATAGAGACGCTTTGCAAAAAATTATGTAGTTCTGCATACGCTTTGCATACGTTAACGTCAATCGTCAATACAGAAACAGTGATGACCGCATACTACGGTTTAGTTGCCTCAAATTTACGCTACGGCATCATTTTCTGGGGTAACTCTACAGATACATTAATTGCTTTTAAGTGTCAAAAGAGATGCATACGGTCAATGTTTAAACTAAAAACAAGTGATAGCTGTAAAACTTACTTTCAGAGGTATAAAGTATTGACGTTGCCAAGCATTTATATTTTGGAAATGTCAATGTTTGTTAAAACAAATCCAGGCTTATTTCCGCGGCTTGAGGATACGGTTACACGGAACAGGCGTGATAATAGTAGACTGCGCCTACTCCAAGCAAAAACTGTGCTTATGCGTAGAAGTGTTTTCTGTATGGCTCCAGTAATTTATAACCATTTACCGCAACAATGGAAAAACTTGAGCATAAGTGCATTCAAGAGCAAGTTAAAAGAATTTTTAGAAATGAAAGCATACTATTCTGTAACTGAGTTTTTAACGGAGAAAATATAATAGAATGCATGTTTTTTTAATAACTACACCATACCCTCTATTAATACACTTTTTTAATAAATGTGATACATTGTTTATTATGATTATGACATTTTTCATTTTTTTAATAATATAATTGTAATTGTTATTTTAATTGATATTGACATAAAATAGAATTCTGACCTCGTATGATGTATTAAATAAGCCCAACTCGCTATTAATGTTATCTTATTGCATGCCTAAAGGTAGAATGTGGCAGAAAAAAATATTATAACTGTAACACCTAATTGTAAACCCATGTTCGCAATGAAAATAAACTGATTGATTGACTGATTGATTGATTGATTGTCATTCAACATTATTTGAGTTTATGGTTTTAGATTCAAGTATATCTAAATATTTTATATCAGATTGATTATTAATTTTAAGATATTAGTAGAATTGTCACTCACATTAAATAAAGTTAAGAAAACGAAAGATAAAACACTGATCATACCAGTTCAGACTATGTAGAGACGTTTGTTCTGAACAATAAAATAATAATGTTATTCTTAAAACACCATGAATAAATTAAGCTCTGGTTCACATAAGTAGCGGCCTGGTATCATAATCATCATGGTATGCTTTACAAGTATCAAATGATTGCTCATACAAGAATGGTTACTTGAGTTTAAATAATTCGAGATCATGTGATACATGAAGTATCCTTGGTACCTCTGAATTATTCAATATTAGAAATAGAATAGAAACAAAATTGAAGTGGAATAAAAATGTAATAGAAATAAAATAAATATAATTATATGTACTCACAGGTTTGTCTTGCTTTTTCAAATGACTTGGAGGTGCTGCTACAGGCAGCAGTGAGAACCAATGGGAGTCGCCCGAAGCAAGCAATGCGGCAGCCTTGTCACCGCTACCACCAGATAAAACAGGTTTCGTACCGATGATACCAATTAACTGGCCATGGTGTTGAATTAGACTGCCTAGAAGAGTCTAGAATATAAAAATGAATTGTTTTTTAGGAAAGATGTATTTTTCGACATCGAATGATTTCATAAAAAGGTCTTTCCACTAGCAATATCAGTCTACTATTTAATAAGAAAGGCAAGAATGATTTTTAGTTACATTATTGGTTCTTTAATTTTCATTATTTTTACCTATTTCTCAATTAGGTACCTTACACTAATTTTTAAAGTAACAAAGTATTTTAATAAAATACAAAAATATTGTTTTGTATACAATATATTAATAACACGTAGTGCTGATGGACTTAAAGCTGAGATAACAAAATAAGTGCAAAGGTCTTATGTGATGTCAATTAAAGGATATATAACAAATAGGGAGGGTCATACATGTCTCAAACATTGTGAAAAAAAAATAGTTGTTAATAGACGCTATCTGGCGTTAACAGCAAAGGCAGAGATTATGATAATGTGAATCTGTCTAAAAAGTGCTTGGAGAGAAACGCTATAAAATTTATTATCATATATGTGAAAAAGCAAATTTTATTGCCACATTCTTTTCGTTCATTCCAAAAAAAAATAAACAACTTTTTTGTTAAATAAATTACAAGGTATTCTGATAAAATAATCACATATTGACTGCATTCAGAAAAAAATATTGTTGGGGCAAAAATTTGGAACCTCAAGTATAAAACGGTTTTTGCATTTATAGAAAAGTGTTTTTGGCGGTTTTTATAAGATTAAAAACTACTATGTCGCTTGGTTATCAGAATATTGGTTCGATCTTTTTACTTAATAGGGTGAATTTAAGGGAACTAATAACATATAAAAAAAAATTAATAGTTCAATGCTTTGTTACGTAGGTAAATTGTTTATGTATGGGGCATGTAATAAAGTATTTTTGTACTATTGTTTTAGGTAGAAAGTAAAGATTTTTTTTAAATTGGTTTGTGTAAATTTAGATGATGCAGAAATGAACAACATGGTACTACACTTACTTGAACTCTCTGTACAGACCTCTTGAGATTAGTCTGTATGTACGGATAGAAAACGTCATAATCAAATGGATCTATTTTTTGTCTTAAGAACTCACAAATGTCACTAGACTGCTCCATGGCTTTCTTGTTCTCTCTAGGCACCAACAACAACGTCAAATGCCTAACATCCATCAATAATTGAAGCGCACACCTCTGATTTATATCTGTCTCATTCTCTCGTATGACTTTGTTGTAATGTGATAAGGTGATAGCAATAACTTTCTCAATGAAGAGCGTGTGAGTTTCGGTTGGGAGCGTGTGCGGGGCTACTTCGTCGAGTATTCTGCTTATAGCATATAAGTATTCTTGTAGTATCAGAGATGGTCCTGCGGGTACTTTAATGATGGATTCTACAGCGTTACCTTCTTCATCTTTTTCGGTGATTTTTATTTCGTCCCATTGCTAAAAACATAGAATGTGATTTCAAGATATGTATTTTTTTTACAATAAAATTGGCGACCCGATAGACATACCTTAAAATAACCCTAAATAAGAAAAAAAAAACCAAATAGATCTATTAAAATACAATTTATAACTTTTAAACTATCTACTTTTATCCATACTTATATTATAAATTTAAAAGTGAGTTTGTTTATTTGTTTATTTGTTACGCTTTCACGACTACATCACTAAACTGATTTAAAAAAATATTACACCAATAATAAACTACATCATCAGCGATTAACATAAGCTACTGTTCATAAATTCGAAAGTGTGTTTACATTTTTAGGTCTTACCTATAAAACTGCATGTACGTCGCTAAGGATATAAGAAATAATATGAGGTACTCTTACTTTTTTTTATCTATCTCTAAATATCCTCGCCTTACCTCCAAAAAAAAACTGTTCCAGACACAAAAGAATAACATTTCTACAAGCGAAGCCGCGGCGATACGATAGTAGAATCATTGTTTAAACCAATAAATGTCGTGTTAAAAAGGAAGAAATCTCACCATCATTAAATAGTCAACGTTGGCTTCCAACGTGAATGTTTGTGGCAAACTTTTGGTCAAATCTTCTACTTTAGCTATAACTATGTCCACCCATTTGCTCCAACAAAATTGACAATTTTCTTTTAACACCGCGCAAATTGTATTCCACCTCTTCGAGGCATTATCGTCTATATTGACCACACCTAAACTGTCGCGTTCCTCAGGTATGTAGCACTTGCGTAAATTAATCATAAGGGTGGATATCGCTTGAGTGAAACGGGCTGTGTATATGGCGGTGGTCTTCTTTTGTAGTTCGGTAGATTGGAGAGTTGGTTCTTCGAAGCAAGCTTTTATATACTGCAGCATACTATCAAAAGGAAATTTATATTTATTTTAGGTATTGGATTAAAAACAAATATTTTTATTCTATTTAATAATAAAATCTAGATATTATTATTAGTTTTAGATATTTCAAGTAAAAAATGCAGTTTCAAAGCCAAGTGACGCTATGGGGCATCCCCGAAATGTACAATTTAGTAAAACATTTTATATCTTTAAAAAATATGCAAATCACTGACGCGATTGCGAACGCTGATTCTTCGTTTAAATTACGAACGATAATACGAACAAGTTTTTAAAAGACTTGCCTACTATTTTCATCTGCATATAGAACTTTAGGTATATATCAAAACATAAAAAATATATAAACTAACTTTTGTATGTTGTCATCACAGACATCTCTCAAATACATTTCAATATCACTCTTGTCGCTGTATATTTGATCAACGTCTTCATCGTCCTCATATGTAAACAAGATCTTATCTTTGCCAGTTGCAACTTTCTTGTCTTTGTACAAGTATACCCGTAAGTCTTCTAAAAGCTTCTGCAACTCATCGTCTAAACTTTGGCAGAGTTTTTCGAGGGTTGGACTGTAGCCGCGATCTTGACGAGCCATACCTAAAACAAGTGTACGATGCTATAATATTCTTAAAACTAACGTCTTTCTGGACTCATTTCTATTTATCTCTAGATAAATTATCAAGTTTAAAAAGAAGGTGATTTTTATTTCAGACTTTTTACAGAGCATGTACGTACTATGTATACACCTATATAGTTTATTTCATAGTGCATAGACTGCACGGATTGCGTAGTGGTTGTGGCTCCGATCCCCACATGGGACGACACTTTGTGTGATCCACAAATTGTTGTTCTAAGTCTGGGTGTCCTTTGTGTCCGTTTCATCGTCGTTTGTTAAGTCCCCCGCGACACAGGATTTATTCCTAGTGCGGGAGTTGGCTTTTTAAGGAGAAAATATATGATATTATGTATACCTACATATTTATAACTTTGCCTGTACTTTGTTGTAACTCGATATCAAAACGTAGAATGAGAAAGATAAGTTGAAATGATGTTCATAACATTCAGCTGCAGTAATATAATAATCGTCAAAGAGAGGAAAAGATAGATATATATATATAGATAGAGAAGACCATATTCGACGTGGGCTTTTACTTTTTATTTAGTATTTTGAGAGTTCCTACGTCACTACTCTCTAGAGAAATACTTACCTATCGATTCCATCGAGTTTATTTACCGACCCGACAGACGTTGTCCTGTCAAATTTGAAACTGCGATGGTAGCGCCGTCTGTCTGATCCAATGTAAAACATTCCAAAATCAACAACTACTAATAAATTAAAAATTAATTAAAAAAACATTGTCCAGCGGACAAAATTGTGAATCTAAACCATTCCCAGATCCCCTTGAACACACACAAAAAATTTCATCAAAATCGGTCCAGTCGTTTGAGAGAAGTTCAGTGATATACACACTCACAGAAGAATTATATATATAAAGATGTAGTAACTAATATAAAAGGAGTGTTACCTCCTGGCTAATGAACCGCCTTGTTTATTACAAATCAAACAACTTTACAACAAACCATTACAAATCAAATAGGGATTACTAACCATTACAATAGAAGACAACAGACAACTTATAATAGAGTTTTTTACTCTAACCAAAGAATATGAAATTACTCTCATTCAGAAATAACAGTTATATATGGCATATACATTATTTCAAACCCTTTTGTCAAAAAAAAAATTAGTGTATGAAAAATAGAATTTTGCCGATTTTCAGACCTACCCGATATGCACACAAAATTTTACGAAAATCGGAAGAGCCGTTTCGGAGGAGTTCAAATTCTAACACCGTGACACGGGAATTTTATATATTAGATTTTAGGTTGAACTTATTTGTTACAATCCATGGAAACTTTTGCCTCAAGCTTTAATCTTCTCGAATTCCTTCCTTATCACAAAATATAACGAAATCATGGTCGCAATTATCGTGATTAATATTATTCATAATTTTGGTATGTAGATAATGTTTTACAGATAATGATTATGGATATTAGATACACATATTAGATATTAGATACACAAGTGTTAACGTGTCTATACGCTAGGGGCTTTTAACTGTTATCGATTGTCGATCGTCATAACTAAAAAATGACAATGAAACAAACAAGTTAATCAATATTATTAAATTTCATTATGTACGTTATGAACTTTTAACTAAATAACAGCTCAGCAGAACGACAAAAACTTTCAAGTCTATATCACTAAGGAGGGTATCACAACAGCGTATTAAGCACACTTTGTAAACAAATAGGCATGGTAAATGGCCTGGGGGTGACAGGTGAGGCCATCTGTCACCCTAACAGAAGCAGGGTTCACAAAAAACCGATGTTAAGCAATTCTTTCGTTGCCTTTCACTGAGTGAGTGAGGTTACCGGAGCCCAAATCCCCCCTCCTGCTGATTCGAGCGGGAGGGACTCCAAGGGCAGTAACGCACTTGTGACTTTTGAGTTGCAGGTGTAAATGGGCGGCGATAGTTGCTTAATATCAGGTGACCCGTCTGCTCGTTTGCCCCCTTATAACATAAAAAATTCAATTGTTTGATTTACTTCACAAATACGTCAATCAAAATAAAATACAGTCAATTTAACGAATAATTGTCTTACTTCGCCTACCATGTGATCTCTCATCTCTAGTAATGGATGAATTATTTAATTAAAAGATGTGGTTTTATTTATTACAGTGCTATCATTAAACCTTAGACAAGATAATGTGTAGTTTAACACCAATAAATCAATGTCATACACAGCTACCGTTCTAAGGACTTATCAATACTGAGAATTAGTCCGTGACGTCACCAATACTCTATTACCGTATTTACTGTATTGACCATATCACTTTCTACAGGTGATAGACTTGATTACAATAGCTTACAATAATCAATTACAAATATTTTCTATTAAAAGAATCCGTGTTGTGACGGTTTAAGAATACGAAGTGTCACTACCCCTATTCACCCCGTGGGTGTCGTAAGAGCCGACTAAGGGAACAAACTACGCAGAACAACAATACTGCAAAGCAACAAACCCTATACCGACTCGTCTGGCCAGCGTGGTATAGTAGGCCAAAGCTCGGCTTCTTTCTCAGGGAAGGCCTATGTCCAGCAGTGGACTGTTAAAGGCCGTTGATGATTAAAAGACAACTAGGAATATTTCCTGTGACGTGGTGGACTATACAAACATTTATGAAACGGACACAAAGGACACCCAGACTAGATCACACAAAGTGTCGTCCCATATGGGTGTTCGGCGCAGTAGGAAGCTTGTTCTTTTGTTGTTGTTCTTTTCAAATATATTTATAAAAATAGTTTATGGACTTAATCACTTGGAAACGGGCAGTTATAGGTCGACACGTGCAGACACAGTTCTATTTTCCATATTTTTTTTATTAAATTCACTTTGATAAGCAATAGCTGTTCTGTTCGTCTATAAAATAGTTTAAATTTTATTTTCAAAATACCAAATGGCGATTTGGGATTATTTGGTAACAAAAGTTATGAAATAAAAACAATTGAATTTGAATTTACTTTATGTGAGTTTTACTAGGAGATAATACGCAATTTAGGTTTAGGAGTTAACATTTTTTCGATGGCGTAGTTTAAAAAAAAAAACAATCATCAAAACATTACCCTGTAAGTCAAATTGGAAAATTTTGCTCACTAATGGTCTCAATACCAAGCTTTTCTTGTTGTTGAATTAATACATTATTTTGTGATTATAAACTATCTACACGACAGTTTTCAGTAGGGTTATTAAATAACCCGTTCACTGTGGCCCCAAAGTTTTAAGTCCAGCCGTTACCAACCCAGTAAGTAGACGTATAGTTTCGAAATCATCATCATCATCATCAACAGCCTTTAATAGTCCACTGCTGGACATAAGCCTCTCCTGAGAAAGGAGGTTTTGGCCTACTATACCACGCTGGCCAGACGGGTTGGTAAAGAGTTTGTGTCAAGTTTTCCTTCTCTCTGCAGTGCTGTTGTCCTGCTTAGTTTTTTCCCTTAGTCGGCTCTTACGACACCCACGGGATGAATAGGGGTGGTGACACTCTGTATTCTTAATCCGTCACCACACGGAAATCGAAATCACTTACGAGATAAATCTAAACTGGCATCCAAAAACCTTGGCGTTCTTATTAGAGAGGTACGGTACCCCTGGGGTAAAGATTTTTATTATTTTGACGACCGGATGGCGTAGTGGTTTGTGTAACGGACTGCTATTCCAAAGGTCGCGTTTTCGATGTCCGCTCAAGTCAAACATTTGTGTGCATGAACTTTTAATGTTTGATTTGGTCTGGGTGTTTCATGTATAATATGTATGTATTTACAAAAAAAAGTATAAATGTATTTATATCAGTTGTCTAGTACCCATTGTACAAGTTCTGCTTAGTTTGGGACTAGATAGCGTTGCATGAATGTAGTAGAATATTAAAAATATTTTATTAGAAATTTTAAAATATGAAAAATTCGTCCCCATATGAAATATTATTGAACAAGGAATAGTGCATAGAGAAAGTGGACTAACCTGGACTTATTGTCTAGGTTTAAAATCAAGATTCTTTCTCTTGAACGTTTTCTTTCGCTTGCATAATACGAAGATCTATGGCATGATGTCGACGGTCCCATTGAATTGCTAGCCTTGGGCATACGGCAACCACTCACTGTCAGGCGTGCCGTTATTTGCTACCGATTTGGTACAGCAAAAATGTACTTATGTCACTGTAATAGGAAATTTTGTGGTACTCACCTTTCATTAGCGAATTCATAACTTTAATCACATCAGCTCTGGATTCTATGACAGTTTCTCCTATAAGGTCCTTCCAGACATACCAATTAATATCAGCCTCCTTTTCCACCTCACTGTCTGACGATACCTTAGTCAAGTCTATAAGGAGTTGGGTCTTAAATACGTCGTAAACTTTGACCCATCGACTGTCTATAATGGCTTTGACCCGAGCTGTGAGGAGAGGCTGGAAATAGTGGCACCAAACGTGGACCTCGGGGATGTCTAGAGATGCGCATATTGCTGACCAATTAGACGGGATTTCTGGAAGAAATAATTAGCTTTTAAAAAAGTATCATGGTGCATTGTAATAAACTGTATCCTACATTACTTAATTTTCTAGCCTTAGTTGGTGGTATTATTTGTTGGTATAAATTACTGTCGTTTTTTGTCAAATGAATAGACTAAATATTGAACATAATTCTAAGTGTCTATTTATTTATTTTTTATTTTTATTTACACGTCATGCACATTAGGTGCATTGGCGGACTTAATGTATTCTAAGGCATTCTCTACCAGTCAACCATTGGGTGATGCAGAGAAAACAGGAAGTAGGTGCATTTTGGTTACAGTTAATTTTGTAGAAAAAGCAAATTAAACTGAATACAAAATAAAATATTTACACATATACAAACCTATCATATACTACACCTATACCTACATATTACACCTGAGTACATACATCACAATACATAAATATTGTACAAAGTATATAAATGCATCCACACATACGCATATTATAATGTGCTCGTGTAACTAGACCAGAGTTGTCACCAAAAGCGTTATATTGTGTACTTTACTTGTTTGCCATTTCAGTATTAAATCATTCACGTTAACCTTTCGGAAATAGATATAGATATAGGTACATACAATTCTGAATTAAATAAACTGAATTTTCTACCTAAGTACTTGTTTGTAGTCTAATAATGCACTCACACAGGATTTAAATGTATTTAAAAATGTTTTTATAAAATTTATGTACCACGTTGGCCAGACGGATTGGTATGGGGTTTGTGTCAAGTTTTCCTTCTTTTTGCAGTGCTGGTGTCCTGCGATGTTTTGCGCCCTTAGTCGGCTCTTACGACACCCACGGAATGAATTGAAATAGTGATATTCCGTATTGTTAATCCGTCACTTCACGGACCGGTTTGCTATTTGGCGTGTATTGGTGTAATGAGGTATTCATTAATTATGGTATACTTTACATTTTGTTAGAACTGACGATCTAATAAACTCCATTAGTTATTTCGTCGTTTTATACATACCTATTTTGAAAGCCACATCTCTAATCTCGTGGAGAACTTTTATTCTAGTGATATTGTGCAGTAGCGTATTTACGTTGCTGTCAATAAAAGACTTCACCCACACGTTCCACTTATGAACGCACTCCGTCACTTCGTTTTTAGCTAGAGGATGGAGTTCCTTGGTTGTTGATAACCTGGAAATTATTGAGAATATGATTCTGGGTTGACAATTTTGGAATGTATAGTAGAACACAATGCGTCAAATCTGGGGCGACATCGAATAGTCTGGAAAGCTCATATTTCGTTTCCATAAGGTACGTGATGAAATATATAATTATGTAAATAAAATAGAAAAAAATATATAGTTCATTTTACATATACCTATATTTATATCCAGTTCAGCGTCCCAGAAACATCATTCAGGTTTGATAGAATTTACAAATATTGAAAAAAATCCCCAAAAAGCGATAATAACATTATGTACAAATGTATACACTGTATGCCTACACTGAGGCCTACCTAAAAATTTCCAGCAGAAGATTCTTGTTATATCAAATATTTACCGTCTACGAATGACGTTCTGAAGTCATAATTATGTCAGACAACAACACAGAACAAACAAACTTGCCCAGAACAATAATCATCTTTGAATATTTCTTCTATTCTATCTTTGAACTTATAACAGTCAGTGACAGTTGTTTTGATCATTTCATTTTATAATATAATAATCATAATATTCTACCACATTCACACAACGGCATCTAGTTCCAAACTAAGCACAGCTTGTACTATGGGTACTACACAACTAATAAAAATACATATTTGTTTTTTTAAATACATACATATTATACATAGAAACACCGAGATTAAATCAAACATTAAATGTTCCTGCACACCAGTTCGTTACCCAAACCACTACGCTATTCGGCCGTTATTGGCATATGCCCCTTCATTGTCCCTACAGTCGTTGTTAATGGTACTAACACGATAAATACTAGACAAGAAGTGATAACATACCGATAGTTGGTAATGGCAGAAGGCAAAAGCTTCAAAGCTGACGGGTCACTAAACTTAACTAGCTCAATCAAAGGCTGGGAGTCCTTCTTAAACAAATCTTGTAGTTTCGATAGAATAGCACCACCGTCATTATCTGAAACAATTACAAGAAGACAACGTGAATATTTAACGGCTTAAATGTTTGAATCTCTTTTTCCAGATAATTTTATTTTTCATCTTTATTTTTATCTTTATCTATGTTAATTTTTCTTTTTATTATTTTTATATAAGAAAAAATCTATAAATATATTATTGAGATAGCTTAGGCAAAATTTACAGTTCTTTTAATCTGTTTTCTAATACCATGAAATAGTGGATGTCCGTGATTTTAAAATTAAAAATTAAACTATATTTTTATCTCATTTAACAATTGAATAAAAAATGTATGTTTTTTTAGCAGTTTATTAACACTCCGAAATATAATTGAGACACTTAATAAAATGGGTATGAACGCTACTATAATTTTTAAGAGTAGAGTGAATAGGTTTATCTTGGTAAGACATGTCCCATGTTCATACTTATAGTCATTTAAAAAAAAACTACGTAATATTTTTTCCTTTTTTAATGCTAATTTTTCACAATCTGGACATTGTGAAAAATTGTTCAAAAATTCATCTGAACGTCAGACCGATGATGGTTGTTTTTGTGGCCAGGCACCCAGACGGGATAAATTGGGGTTGGAAAACAGGGCGAGAGAACTTTATATACCGCAGGCTAGGGTGGGAAAGGGAACTGACACTGTAGTAAGTTTAGGAGACGGGGTCGCGTATTAGTGCGTCCTGTGATCGCGAGCTGCCACAGTTTTAAGGACAACAATAGGCCGTATATTACTAATCAATACTCACCAATAAAACAAGAATACACCAACACAACAGTCTTCAGTACAATCTTGACTCCACTCACAATTTTGTCTTTAATTTGCGCCTTGACATCTCCTTCTAAGATCTGTGCTAGATCAAACTGAAGCGTGGACTTAAGACTGCTGTTGCTATGGAGACCTATTAGCGTATTCAGAAGCTCCACCATGGTTTGAGAGTCTAAGAGATATAGACTTATTAAGCAGGAGCATGCTACCTAAAATGTTTAAATAGATTAAAGAGTTATTTCATTAATTAACTTCTACCCAGCATAACCCATCCTTTAAATATAGAAAATAATAAAGAAATTTTGTGTGACCGTTAGTTAGATGCCGGACCGGGCCATGCTATACCTATGGATTGTTAATTGTTGAAGATTAATTTGATTAAAAAGAGAAATCAGTTATATGATGCGCATCATATTAGAGTACTAACTATAACCACTATAGGTGTCATCATCATCATCATCATCAGCCTATCGCAGTCCACTGCTGGACATAGGCCTTCTCATTGCACGCCACTTAGATCGATTTTGGGCTTTTCGCATCCATTAAAATTTAGTGCACGAAAATTTGGTAAATGTCAAATAAGTATGTCAAATCAAATAAGTGTAAATAAAATGATACCTTATATGTACAAGATAGGGTGTATTTAATATAATTATAAATAGCGTTTAGGATTTCAGTTACGATGATGTTGGATTTACTCAGAGTTTTGTATGTGTGTAAAATATTAAATTTATTGTGGCGGCTACACACAATTTTGAACAGGATACACTTGATGGTATTTCTAACCGCATTTTCTCAGTTCTGTATTAAGCCTACAATATGTGTAATTTCATACAAATTAAAACCTGGGAGCAAACCTTCGTGGAACTTAATGAGTCGGCATTGATTAATAAATTAAGTTATTAAATAAATATACGAAGTGTATTTTCTACCTCAACACTTATTTCAATATCCTGTAGCTTCTGCCGGCATACGTTTATTATCGTTTGATTGAAGTTAGAGATTGAGTGCCACTGTTGCTGCACCAGTCTTTGCAATGACTGCATGCCGGGCTTGACGGCTTTACCCCCCATTTGTAATTGCAATCCTAAAAAGACATTATAGATAATTTAGTAGTCATATAGATATTACAATTACATTCTATTTTCTTTAACAAGTCGATTTTAATTGATAATTCGTTAGGACATCACTACAGCATCATAGACCGATTTCCTACATCTGATTGGCTATCACATTTTGCATTTTATATGATAAATTAAAGATATTAATTGTATAAAATTGAATTTCAATACTTGTTTACATTATTAGTTAGTTACCTACAAGTGAAGCTAATAACAATTTGTTTAAAAATATGTTTTTAGTAATTTGAATCTTTTAGATTACCAGTATTAATGTGTCTAGCCATGATGAACAATTGTGTAGCCTTCACATAGTCTTCATTTTCAATACTCGTCCATATTTTCTCTGGTATTTCCATTAAAAGTTTAACTTGTACTGATATACTGTAAACCGAATTGTTATACTGAAAGCTGAAAATTAAATATGCATTAACAGAAAATAATTTCTGAAATATTATTTGCATTTTATTCAGAAGAATTAAGGGATGCCAATAAGATGTGCAAATCCATCAACAAAAAGAAACCTAATGTGGAAACCACCACACAATCTCCTGCATTTTTAGTCACAGCTGTGCTCTTATTCACTATGTAGGAGAAAATGAATTTTCTTCATAATTCATTTTTAAAATATTTTAATAGTTATGCTGCTATTCAGGGCGGAGACAAAAAAAATAAATCAAACTTCATAAAAATCGGTCCACCCGTTCTTGAGTTTTAAAAGGTGTAACTAGCCTGTCTTTTTAATAACTTGTAAATAAATTTATTGCTACCATTATACTTTCTTTTCAGCTATTAGTAACTTCTTTAGAAGTGTGACAAGCTGTATTCGTATTATGTATTAAAAATTGCGGATAAATAAATATAATATGTAGAATAATTCTTTCCAACTTCAAAAAGGATTAAAGATTTTTAAAGTTATTGTTTTAATTTTGCTAAAAGCTATTTTTTGCGGCAAAGTATAACAAAGATATTGGTAACTGATTTATACAGTGGAACAAAATCAAACCAACAAAAAAATTACCTCTGAGATAATGATTTTCTTTCATCAATCTTATTTCCCACTAAGTGTGTGTTGTGCAAGCTCTTACAAGCAGCCATCATGTCCCTGATGTGATTTAGGGTGCTGCCGGTAGTGTCTTTCATCTCCTCAATTGTATCAGCAGCATGTATTAGATCTCTGTATGTTTCCCTTGAATTGAAAAGAAACAAGGTTTATAGCCACTTCACTATTGCTATTGTATTTTAGATACAAAATCTACTATACTTTTTAATTTTTTTCTTAAAAAAAAAACCCGTAGGACTACTAGGAGAACTAGGAATATATCCTGTAGTGCTGAAGACTTTACAAACATACATGGAAACGGACACAAAGAACACCCAGACTCAGAACAACAATTTGTAGATCACACAAAGTGTTGTCCGGTGTGGGGATAGGACTCACAACATGCAATGCAGTAGGAAGCAGTGAGGTGACTGCATAAACCACTACACCATCCATGCAGTCAAACATTTTATAATAACGAGTAAACATTATGTAATACTTCTTTAGGTTTTTGAGATATCCTTGATGATAGGATCAAAACAGCAATGCTTTATTATTAATTTACGATTGCATCAAATATAGGCATAATAGAGGCATAGTCAGACACACCAAAAAGAATCTCTTTTTAGAAGAATCAGTACACTTCAATATATTTAACAATGCTATCCACATGAATAATGTTTCTATTTGGATCAAAATTATCCCATCTAACTATCCACAAGAAATTGAAAAATCCCATAACGTTCTCATTTAACTACCAATTCAATTGATGTGAGTTAATAATACAAATATTGCTAAATAGCTATGAGTTATTATGTCTGTGGGTTCTATATTATCTCTCTCTCTTGGGTACAAATTTTTTTTTTGCTTGAAAAGTATCTATGTTCTTCTCTGTTGCCCTGGCAATAAATGCAGGCTTCGGTACGACAGCGCATAAAATATTTATAAGTTAGATTATCGTACGTTCGGCGGAGTCTTTGGCAATTCAGTAAAAACCGAAACAATTACAACAATACACTGGTCGTGACTTCGTAGTTTTCAAGTGATCATTTGTGCCTATTTAAACTTACCCCACCATAGCCCGTAACTCTTCCTTTTTCCTTTCAATTTCATATTGCAACTTCTTCTGAATCTGGTCTATATCACTGATAGAATAAGTTTGAAATAACGCCTCAGGGACTATATCTAGTAATCGAGACATGTTATTTTATTAATCCGTTACTTATAATATTCATTTAAATAATTTCACACCGACTTAGCAAATTATTAAAATAATAATTTTTATTCAAATAAAATGTAAACAAAAAGCGTTCATTGGTAAGAGGGACTCAAGTGCCAAATGCCAACACATCTTCTGTCAATGTCATTAATGTCATGATGACATTATTTTTCTTACAAATTTGACTGACATTCTTGGACGTGTTATTTGTTTGTGCCTAACTTTTCAAGAATCCCTTGTAAAAAAAAGACCATAAAATGTAACAAATTTTTGAGATCTGCAAAGAACCGTAAATTAAAAATGCCTGGGCATTCCACTAAATTCCTCAACCACTCCTCGGTCCAAACGGTTTGGTTGTTGTGGCCCGCCTTACCGGACGCAATAAGACGTGCAAATACACTATAACTTCCTTCATAGTCCAGTCATATAAAGGGTTTCACCTCGAAATGAGAGATAATAAGCTGTAAAATTGAAGTTCACAAACATTTTTTTTTCAAATATCTCACTTCCAAAGAATGTCGATGCAGCAATGATCGACTTTGTTAGCAATGGGGTCAACCTGAGGCCATATACACTATTCCCGCTAGAGTCAATCGAATGTAGGTATTTATTTAGCTCATTTTGTGATTATAGTTCGCATAAATAAAGTATTGACAAGTTCTGATTACATTTAAATGCACTTTTTTATTTTAATGGAACCACATAAAATATAGCCTATAAATAGTAAACAATATACAGCCCTACCCTTATGCGTCTTTCCCTTAGGATGAGGAGGAACAAAAGCATATGTGTATTTTATAATCGTATTTATTATTTAGGTGGTATTTTCAGGCTGGCAGGCATAATGCGACTAAACCCTATCGAGACCTCAAGCCCAGGTACTTACACTGCTGAGAATCATGAGTGTGTATAAAATTATAATACGGAGCACTAATTCATTCAATTATATAACTAACAATAGCTTGCCTGCCGCATGAGAGTTTTTATGTTGCTTTCAAATTAATATTTACCCTGAACATATGGAATACTGTTCTCATCTATATGCAGAGGCACCTCAGTACCAGCTTCAGTACTCCCTCTGGACCGCATCCAACGAAGAGCGACTCGAATCATCGATGGTCCAAACATATCCGATCGGCTCGATCCCTTGGCGTTACGTAGAGATATGGCTTCACACTGCATTCTCTATCGCGTATATCATGGAGAGTGCTTTGAGGAATTGTTCGGACTAATACCAGCTGCAACTTTCCGCCATCGTTATCGGGTATCATCTTGCGGTATTTCCGGACCGATACGATCTTCAAACCTTCCAGAAAAGAGCGTTTTTTGACTCCTGAGTCGCAGACGTTAAAGGGCGGCGATGGTCACTTTCCATCAGGTGACCCACCTGCTCGTCTGCCCCTTCTGACATAAAAAAAGAACAACATTTTAGGGCCCAGATCTTCTGCAGCGTTTTTTGGGAACTTCTTATTTATTTTCTATTATTCACTAAGGTTCTACGCATGTCATATTTGACGCTTTCGGTATTGGAACTTTTTATCTGATACCTTTAAAAGAGCAATTTTTGTAAAGAGCAATTCTTGTCAGCTCCAACGATATTACGATATACGATAGATTTATAGGATGAAGAGCAACTTTTGGAGGAGTCCCTTGCAGAGGCACTGTATGTTGAATCTGGTTGAGGTTGATGAAAATGAAAACCTCATTCTCGAGGAACTATAGCAGATTCCGAAAGAGGATGAAGAGTCTATGAAGACGATGCCCCACTCGCTGAGGATCGGCAAGACTACATCTAAGGTGTCTTAACATCATTCCGCGGCAAAAGGTCAGCATTTCGAAAGAAGGCAGGTACTTAAATTGTGGGAACAGATCCATTAGACCTATTTTGTGTAATTTGGGACCAGCCTATTATGGACATGTTTGTCCAAGAGACCAACAAATATGCTTTACGTACCATCGATAGGCTGTTGAAACAGATACCCTTATGTCAAAATCGAGGTTGAATGCGTGGGTGCTAAGAATCATATATCGCCGCCGATATATGATTCTTATGGGTATCTGTGTCAGTAACCGTATTGAGGAGTACACTACCACGTGCATATTTGGCCATGCTTAGATTAATGCCACTACAACGGTTTTGGCTGCTCGTTATGTTTCTGCACTTTGCTGACAACGATTGTTTGTTGCCAACTATGCTTGGAGAAGAACGCAAATTATTTCAAAAAGCTTCAGTTTTGGACCATCTAAATTGAAAATTTGAATCCATTTGTGGCGACTCCCACATGAAAAAAACAAAAACATACTACAGCGCCATCTAACGAGGACACGCCAAACTACGGAGTAACTCCAGGATGAGAATTGCTAATCCTGTATCGCGACATAAAGAATTCTCTTTCCGATTGTCATATATACAACTTCCCAACATCAACCGTTGGGCCACGGCCCGTCAGGCATGATCACCTCGCTGGGTCGAAGGATACGCCCTTTGTGATGGAGGGAAATGACACCCGTTCCTCCACACATTTACAAACCTCGCAAAGAACTGTCTATAGACGAATGGTTGTTGCTTTGGACGTCTGAGTTGGGTACAGTGTATTCGGTCCAAGCAGCAGCACGATTCGGCGTAGACTTATGAACTTTGCTAGACGGTAACTGGGTACTGTCTTTAGACAATAATTTAAGGGAAATTATCATCAACCCAACTTCTTTTTGGCTTCACTAGTTCAACTTCAAAAATTATTTTAAATTTAATGAAATATTACTTGGGGAAACGTTATACATTATTCATGGGTTGGGTATACGTTAGTCTGATAACTTTTATAATTCTGTGCCCATTGCAAAAATTTTCAAATAAAAAATGACAGACGTTGTCAGACTAAGCCTGACGTCGCGTAGGAACGCCACAGGTAATAAAAGATATTGATGTAAAGCGTAAGGGGCCAAGTGGTATGTGTGCTTTGTGGTGACGTGGCTGTTGTGGCTTCGAAAGACGTGAAGCTGGTCAGCACTATGTCCACTTATCACGCCAACCAAATGTCGATGGGGCAATGTGCTGGGATGGATTGCTCCAGCTCAACCATATTAAACGGACCTGAAAAATCTGACCTATACTACCATACCAGGACTCTCGGCGATCGTGACATATTGAGCTGCTAGAAAACATCCCCCTGCCTTGCCAGCTTTCCAAATCGTCATCATCAAAAGCCCATAATAATCCACTGCTGAAAACAGGCCTCCTATACCATCAAGTGTTAAGTTTTCCATCTCTTTTCAGTGCTGTTGTCCTGCGTAGTTTGCTCCCTTAGACGGAGTAGGTCTAGATCACCCGTGGGGTGAATAGAGGTGGTGATATTCTTAATCCGTCACCTTCATAGCTTTCCCAATCAGCATAATTATGCATAATTTAGGTTTTTTAAAACAAGACACTTATCGAAATAATAAATATAATCAAAGTACATATTACAATTTTTTGAGTAAAATAACAATTTGTTGTTTTACAGTCATATCCTGGTGATGCATACCCAGTACACTAAAATTGTATACCATTGAGGAAATAATATCACAATTTGCAGATCATTATAATAATGAAACTCATTTTAACATGATTCCATTTGTATTTTTATTTTTAAGTACGATAAAATATACTTTGATATAAAATTTTCAGTCACATTATATAAAACAAAAATCTTTAACACAATAAAACATTACTGATGACCAAGTGAATTTGTAGCGATCTGCGATCGAACTTCGATAGACTTTAGAAAACACCCGAATACCGCAACAATTTCCCGACTGTCAATAGTGTCAATGTCACTAAAATCTTTGTTTCTGATACCCATTAAAATTATGTTTACTAAAATTATTAAGCATACTTTTTACTTACTCAATATGAAATGTTTAGACAGGCACTCATTTTTCAAAACTCCCTTTTAAAGATTATGCCATGCCTTTGTACATATTTGTACGGACATAAGATGGAGCTCATTTTATTTAGGAACATGTTTGGGGCCAACATCAGCTCCCCATAGAGATTAAATGCAAAGCCAAGTGTGCGTGGTTGACGCCTTCAATGTTTAAAATCGACTAAACGATACGTGACGACCAATTCGTACACTACTCAGAATATCAGTCTGTAAGAACTTATGATGAGAATAATAAAAATAAATACTTGTAATAAAAGAACCGTTAACTTAGGTATGAAAATTAATAAAAAATGATTTTCTTATTTCATTATAAAAATATATAATAACACTAAAAATATCCATGTATAACGGTGCAACGTTGATCTATTTGTTACATTAAAATTACACTTATTCAACATGCTTTAGTTGGCTGTATGAATTATTATTTAACATAATCTAACAATATTTTTTTTATCTTTGAAAATATAAATTATTGCAACATACCATATAATACATTTTTGTTTTGAGATCATGTGGCAGTGCTAAGCCATTTTTGAACATCAAAATGAAATAATTTTTACACACAACGATAAAATATAAGTTTTAAATAATGATTGGTATAGCCAACTAAAGTGTCATATAAAATGGATCTCACTTCACTGGACCACATTCACATTATTGCCTATGAGATTGCGCCACTTAACTTCAGTATAACACTTCATACACTGTAGCCTTCTTGTCGCCAGACCCTGTTACTATGAACTTATCGTCCGATGATATATCACAACTGAGCACCGATGATGACTCCTTCGACTGAAACACAAATATATATATAAATTCAATTAAAATTCAGATCAGGTCAAGGTGGGTGGTAAGGGAAGATGAGGAACGAGCAGAACGTTATTAACTTATCTAACTTTTGCAATTTGAATGTGACTACACCAGGCAGGCAATTGTTTGTATAACGCATATAAGTGGCATAAGTTCGGTGCGCCCTCTAGTTAGGGGGAAGAAGGCGTTCGTTTTGTTAATGATACAAAAATTATTAATTAGATTCAATATCATAAGAAAACTTGCAGTAGCAAATTTATGAATGTGTGTCTTGCAACTCTGAATAGACAACTTCAAGAGTAGTTTTTATTCGTTCTGACTGTTGATTACTGTTTTTATTGACAGACATTCTCAAAGCACGATAGCCATTACCACTATATAGACTTATACTTAATAATAATTTCGTATATCTTCACACGGCTGTCTGATTGCAAACTAGGCAGAGCTTGTACTATGGCAACCAGACTGCTAATAAACATACTTAAATATTCCTAAATAAATACACATAGATAAAATACACCTATATACAAAAAACGATATTTGTCCTGGGTGGGAATCGAATCCACGACTTCCGCCTTGACAGTCAGGGTCACTAACACTAACAGCTAGACCGACAGACCCATATATATATAGATACTGAATAGATGTTAGTAGAAGTGTTCACCTGGAATATGCTCGCGCCATAGGGCGTGCGCCAGGCGTTGAGCAGGTTGTCCTTGCCGGTGGACACGAACCACTTGCCGCACGCCGCGAACTTCAGCGACAGCACGCACGACTCGTGCAGCAGCAGCTGGTAGCGGTCCGGCTTGCCCGCGTGCAGCACCTCCACGTGGGAGTTCTCCATGCCCACCGCTAACCACGAGCCTACGAACACGACGCAATTTACTTACTTGAGCGTTGTCTCTGACTATTGTGGAAGCTAATGTTACGTTTTTAACAGCAAATATTTAATATAGGAGGAGGCATAAATCAAGGCAGATCAATAGTTAACAAGTAGTAGGTAACATAAACTTTTACTTTAATTTACGGTAATAAGGATGGATAATCGTTTATTAAAGTTTTATTTTATTTAAGCGTTCCGTTTATTAAAGCAAAGTAGTTTATTCTGTATATGTAGACGTAACAGGATGCATATTAATTTTTCTTATATTTCTTAATTATAAATTTTATATGAAAATACATAAAGCAGTGGACAAGTGCATTATTTAGAGTGTACGGACTAATGTCGCAGTTGCAAATTTTTATAGTAATTTTATAGGTGTTATAAAGTGGAAAGGATAAAATCTAAAATAATTAACGCTTGTTCTAACTATAGAATAAGACTTGACACAATGACACAAGCTATAACCTAGAAAAGCAGAACCCTTTTAGACAGTACATTATTTTAATTCACTCCTCTAGATGTGGAGGCGTTCTATTACTGGACGGTTACAAATAACCTTTTCAGGTTCATTAAATTTTAGAGTTGAGTAGTGAAAAGTATTAGAACGAGGGCGTACCGGTGGGGCAGTATCCCAGCGAGAAGATCTGGCTGGAGAAGTCGTGCTGGTGCAGCTGGCGGCCCTCGCGCAGGTCCCAGGAGCGCACCGTGTTGTCGAGCCCGCCCGTCCACAGCCGCGTGCCGTCGCCGCTTATGTCAATACACGATGCGCCGTCCGTGTGGCCTGTCGCACACACACACACACATACCATATTAGTTCCACCAGTGACTTCACACAACTTACACGCACATTTTAACGTGCACTTATGAGGAATAATAATCTTTAAACGATGAGCACAATAGTAGGTAAGTTTAGGTAGAAGGTAGGTTTTGTTTGTCATTATAAAAATATTGAGCTGGACAAAATGCATAGAGTTGGCAAAATAATGTGTAAAATATAATGCATTTCAACGTACCTTGGAATTGTCTAACTAATGTTTGGTTTTGTAGATCCCATACCGCTATGTTTCCATCAGAACAGCAACTAAAGCACACCTGTCGAAAAAATTAGAAATTTAAATAGTGAGGCAACGGATCTCTGTTTCTGTTTCCGCAAGTGCGGAAGTTCCGCGCGATTTTCAACATTCGTTTCTGCTTCTGTTTCCGCTACTTTTATAACGGAGATACAATTGGAAGTTTACGACGGCTGAGAGTTACGCATGCGCGGCGCGAGGCGCGTGCGAGTCGCTGGACGGTTGAGCGCGGTTGAATTCACACAAATACCATAATCTTTTGCCATTAGTGCGCCAATATTTGTCGGTACCCCGCCAATATTTGTCGGTAGCAGCGTCGCCAGTGAGCAATTATTTAGCGGCGCTGGTCTTATATACGAAGAACACCAACGGCCAAATTTCTTTTCATAAAATACAATTTGCCACTATTTTGAATATTAATAAAATGTTGTTGCGAAGTTGCAATATTGTTTTCTATAGTAGATTTCTAATATATCTATTTCTAATCTGCATTTGGTGTATTTGATACTTAATAAAGAAATATATTTGTAAATTTGTTTTTTTTTTTTCAAATTATTTACAGATTTACACTTCTGTTTCTGCATCCGTTTCCGTTTCTGCTAAAATTTACTTTTGACATCTGTTTCCGTTTCTGGTTTCGCTAAGACACTTCCGTTGCATCACTAAATTTAAATATTTGTACATATTTTATGTCCAGTTATTTATTTATGAATGCTACCTGCAAATACATTATACAAGGCAGACTCAATGCCATAGTTATATGGTCATTTGTTCAAGGTTTTTGTCAAGGTTTGTTAAATATAAATTTACAACACTAGTTGATGTTATAATTTATTTGTTACTAGTTTTTGCCCCCGGCTCTGCCCGGGAGTATATCGGTTATTGCAGTAAAAGTCGTCTATGTCCTTCCTCAGGAATCAAAGTCTCTCTATGCGAAATTTTATTAAAATCGGTTCAGCAGTTATTGATTTCCCATACTAACATCGACCCCCTCAAAGGGTGATTCGATAAAAACTATACTATGTCCTTTCCCGGGACTCTAACTATCTCTATACCAAATTTCATGTAAATCAGTTCATCGATTTAAGCATGGAGAGGTAACAGACGACAGACAGATAGACACACTTTCATATTTCTATAATATTAGTATGGATTGAGTAATCTTGGCTTTCTGATTTCTGCTCTGTGCGTACTAAGTGCAAAGCAGCATACTCGATCATTTAACCATAAATGTTTTTAAAATTTGCTTGAAATTGATAACAACTGTTTTACATCCGTTATATTTTTTGCAAAGTTCCCTTAAAAGCATAACTTTTATTCGAACACCGTTAATTACAGCAAATCATGGTCTAGCTATCATTAAAACGTCCGACTACAGCCGGTTAGTCACATAAATAGGAGATCCCTGTTGTCTTGTCTGTTGATCCTCAACTTAGAATGTTTCTTCGATACTGATGTTCATACCTTGGAGTCGGGTGAGATTGCAAGCGCGTAACAAGCAGGTGCAGAGGAGGTGAGCTCGGCGCGCATGCGCGGCGTGGGCGAAGCCAGGTCCCAGATGGACAGGTTGGACGCCTCGCCGCCTACTATAAGCGTACGACCGTCTGGGAGCAGCTTCACCGACCGTATATAGTTATCGCGTTGCTGGAATTGACAAACAGTATTTCTTAATACAATAAAGTTAAAAATATATTTTGAATTAATTAATATTTGGATATACCAATTAGATTTAAAACTTGATGCATTTGATAGCAACGTCCTTACGTTAAGTTATAAAAATGCAGGGAGTGGTTAGTTTAAGTTTCACTGTAAGAACGGACGGAATTGAAAAACGGTGTGATTCTGAATCACAGTGATAGTGATCACACATCTGTCGATAATTTCACTGATTCATCGATATAATGTCCTAGGTTCGGGCGTTCTATTCGTTGAATGAATGTTTGTTCGTTCTTTCGCGGCACAGTAAACATAAGTGATGCGATAGTTCTTTTTCAAATCTATATGTCGATTAAAAACTGAATGCAATATTGAACAAAGGCGGACTTAATGTCATCGGGCGTTCTCTCCCAGTCAACCTTCAGGTGATGTAGAAATATGATGCGGTGATGCTAGGTAGGAACAGAAATAAAGCATATCGAGTCTTGCACTCACCAAACAGTCCAATTGTGAAAGCGGTTCGAGCGCGGCGGGCGAGCCGGGGTTGGAGATGTCCCAGAGCTTGACGCAGCCCTTGCCGCCGGTGTAGGCGTGGCGGTTGGGCCCGGAGAGCGACAGCGCCACGGCGCAGACCACCTCTCCGTGCGGCAGCGCGGCCACCGCGCGCGCGCCCCGCGCCACGCCCGCGCCGCCCAGCGCGTCCGCCGGGAACCCCACCGGCTGCAGCGGGCCGCCGCACGAGTGGTACGAGTACGCTCTGCAGGGACCGCACCCGCATATATCGTAACGTATCGATACCGATACGTTCGATATCGATTATATCAGTTTAATTAGTGGTCAAACAAAAATACAACTTATAATTTTTTTAAATTATTTTAATGGAGTTGAAAGTACAATCATGTCCGCTTTAAAAGACAAGTGAACTGTGACTCCCGACCTATGCGGTACAAGTATTGACTTTCAGTAAACCAGGTATCACTTTATCTAAACTGAACAAGTACGAGTGTAATTTGCCGATGATCAAGACTTGTGAGGTGAAGATTGAAACAAGTAAGTAAGTGCATTTACGTGGGACTAGGACGTAGGACAGTATACTTATAAGGTGTGAAAAGCATAAGCATGGAGAGTAGAGTACAATCTCAGGAATCTCAGTAAACGGTGCCCTGTACGTATTCCCTAGTGAAAAGTCAGAATGTGCTATTAAACACTCATAGGGTAGTCTAAGAACTAACTCTGATAATAATAATTAGTAATCATATGGTTTGTTTTTTTTTTCTCACCAAAACCGAAATACAATAAAAAAGGATTTGACTGCGCGGATGGCGTAGGGGTTTAAGCGGTCGCCACGCCGCTCACACTACGCTAAGTGTTTTGAGTCCGATCCCCACATGGGACGACACTTTGTGTGATCTACAAATTGTTGTTTTGAGTCTGGGTGTTTTTTGTGTCCGTTTCATGTATATTTGTAAAGTCCCCCGCGGCACAGGATATATTCCTAATTTGGGAGTTGTCTTTTTAAGAAAGAAAAGAGAAAGAGGATTTTATCCTCTCTGTCTACCCCGGACGTGAATGAGGCGACAGTGTTTGTATTTATCATTTCTTTGTTTAACTGACTTTGGTGTAAGTTATGCATTTTAGACTAACCTTCAAAATCTTAGAACATATAATTATTGATTATTAATTGTAGCAGCGACGAGGATGATAAAAAAATATGATTTACTATATTCAATTATAAAAATACATTTTTATCAATGTTTTAAGTTGGTGCTGAGTACCAAAATGACCATAGAAGTAAAATAGAAGTGGTGGCCTCACGGTTTGGAGGGCGCGATGCCGTTGGTCCGGTGGTGCGAGTCGTAGTGCATGGGTGCGGGCGCGGAGGCAGGGGCGGGCCCGCGGTAGTTGCCGTACGGCCCGAAAGGGTAAGCGCCGCGGCCGCTCGTCGGGGTGGACGCGCGGCCCATTTTGCTACCCGGCGTGCCTGGCTTCTCCTGCAAACGTCACGTAAGACTGCCTGAAATACTCACTTTATGGTATTCAAAATTACTTTGACGTGTGTTACAGGTCTATTGACAGAAACTGAGTTGAATAATATTCTGTAGGGTTCTTAATATTTTTATTATTTTCAAAATGGAGCACTGGAGTGATATATTTGTTTTTTACTCGTTATTGATGAAATTATATTTAAAATTGTAGTTATAACAAAAAATAATACCAATTGATTTTAGCATAAAAAAAGATTTTAACCACTATAGAAGACGAAGCATATTTATTAGGTTATGAAAAGAATACAATTTTTAAACGACAATCACTAAAATAATAACGAATATTCTCGACCCTGTATCATGTTTCTATTTAAACTTACGTCTTTAGAACTCTTGGGTGTTGACCGACTGGATGAAGACCCTGATCTCGAAGGAGGCCTAGGCCCATTCTCTGTCCGTTCGCCTCCATCAGTCCGTACACTAGGTGATCCTCTTTCCTCCTGAAAAAAAAAAGCATATTCACACATTTTTTACCAATTTAAGAATATTGAAAACATAATTAAAAATATGTGTAAAATAATTATATTAAAAGCCATTGCTTTAGGAAACCAGTTGATTGTACAGGTTGTTGTATAGCCAGTGGTACCAAACAATATCACACGTTCGACTGTGCTCCTTACAAAATAAAATTCATTTATTTAATTTGTGTCCTCTAACTAGCCACTGCTATTAAATTATTACTAGACTCACAGCATTATTTTATTGTTTATTGTGACTCCATTATAATTATTTAAATTGACATCCACATTTTGTGCATCAATATCATTGACAGAACTAATATGAATTAAGACTACTATTGTACTGTTTTGTCTATACGTCCTAGGAAACTAATTCATTAATAAGTAAAGTTTTCATGAATCAACTCGTTGCTGAAAACCGTTTGAGAATCCATTAAATCACCAATTATAATATAATAAACAGACGGACAGCGTGAAGATTTTGTTTTATAATTTCCAGTGCTTGTACTTGCAGTTTTTTTTTTAAATTAAAGTTACTACAACACAAAAATATTTCACAAGTATTGATTAAAAATTACTACAAAACTATATACACACTACCATATTAATATTCCTTATCTATAATAATCTAACTAGTATTATTACGCGTTATTTCTAAATCAGACTACTACGGGACCATCCTCAAAATACTGTTACCATCTTACCTCATTTGCCACATCAACAACAAGATCTTGATCACTTTTTTCAGCGTCGCTGTCCTACAAAATGTATATCGTCAAATTAGTTTAACATTCAATAACAATAAACATAAGAACACACAGCAATCACATTAATTTACATCTACTGTTACAGAGCATCGATTAAAAGCAATTTCTTTTACAAAGCTGAACAAATAAGCTGTTTCAATGAATTGTTTTTGCTTATAAAACCGTTTCAATCCGATGAATATTTAAATAACAATTTCTGTTAAAATTGCTTGTAAATTGAAATTATGATTGTTGTAGTTATTTTTCAATTTTACAGTATATATGTATACAAAAACATGTATTGTCAACGACACCACTGAAAAAATAATAATTGTAAAGGACACCCCAGTGGTGTGGACCACTGCGGTGTCCTTTACAATTATTATTTTTTGTTAACGACACCACCGTAATTAAGTTCCAACACAAAACTTATGCATATATCGACATCAATTATTATTTTTTATTCGTAAGATCACCACCATGATCATTTAAAAGGACTTTTTTTTATGTTAGAGGGAGCAGACGAGCAGACGGGTCACCCGATGGAAAGTGACTATCGCCGCCCATGAACGTCTGCAACTCATGGAGTCACAAATAAATCCATGAAACGCTAAGAAATAGGTCTTCTGTATAATATCGGATCAAGTATTTAAATTAATTTAGTTTTATTGTTGTAATGAATACAATTATTATGTTTTACGAATCCCTTGTGAACTCGAATATCGACCAAATTCAAAATTATCATTAAAAATTAACACAACGATTCACGTTATACATCACTAGGCAGCAGTGGTGTCGTAACTAAAAATTAATTGTAAACGACACCCCAGTGATGTGGTTCAGTGTTGTCTTTTACAATCTAATGTCTTTGTACTTTTGGTCGCAGCTCTTGTAAGCGCCTTTGTGAAAGCAGGTTGACGGTACGGTAGGTTATGATATTAACGTCACATTATCACTAAGACCCAGATCCTTGTCATTATTCCATGCAACCCTACCTATTATTTAGAAAACATTACCACTTATTCCCTCGCACGTAAGGATGTAAACGGGTTTGATGAAGGAGGACGAGGATAATTCGAAGAGTCGTATTACGATGACCTAAGTCAATTCTTTGTCTTTGAAGGAAATGCCTGACAGCAAAATTAAATTAGAACTGCTGCAAGATGATTTAAAGAGGGTCTATATGCGAGATGTGTTTTGGGTGACGAAGCTAAAATTTGATTAAGGGATGTTTGGGGCTGTCAACACTAACCATGTGACCTGCCCTTATAGAGTTCTACTCGGGGAACCAGGAGAAGATTTATAAAAAAAGGACCGTATTTATTACCTTAGACCCAATCAAGCGGCAGTGTGGTTCTCAACATCATAGATATTTTCCGTCTCGTCCCAATAGGTAAGTTTTAATACTTTTAATCTTGTAATCCAGAATTCCTCCACCCAACCAATCCGTAACAAAACACGTACATTTTAAAAGGACATTACAATTGATTGTGGTTTTAAATAGCAAAAACCATTCACAAATAAAAATCAAGTCAAAATTCAATATCAAAAAGCAACATGAATGTAAAAGAAGCCGACACATACACTACATAGACTCACATGTCCGAGTACCTTCTCTTCCTTTCTGCGTTTGACGTCTAGAGCCTCTGGTTCAACAGGTGAACGGGGACGGTACTTCTGCTCTCGTTCGTGCGGGGACACTGACCGCCTCTGTGGGAAATAGTCCTGCGTTGTGTTCCTCACGGTGAGTAAGGTATTTAGAGCTCTAGAGGACAAGCTCCGCTGTCAGTGGTTAGAATATATCCTATCCAAAACAGCGCAGCAGTTTCCACCGATATACTAAAAGGTGTGTGTAAAGCCTTCTTGGACTATAGCAACAGTTATCATAATTTTTGTAATTGTTATACAAAACTCTACCATAGATATACTACTCCTATACTAAAATTTGTCTTGTAGTAGCAGTAGGTAGGTTGTTTGACAAAGAGTTGGTGCATTATTAGATGTATATTCCAGAAGTAGTACCCAGTTATTGGAGCAGGTCACAAAAATTTATGATCAATGTGTCAATCACTGTAACGGACTTTTTCGGTTGTCATAGAAGACATCTTTCCAATTTGATGGAAATAAAAGGAACTTTTCTCATTTAGATGATACTACGTTAATTGTGACTTTTATTTATCGACTGTCGCCTTTACAAGTATGCAGTTCCTACGTTAGTAGACAGGTCCTACATGGAATATTTAAATTTAAATTAATTACCGTTTTTAATTAAAAGTAAATATAGCGAACTCTAATCCTGTTTTCACATAATTTATTACATTATTATTAATAAATTTTACCTACTTTCATTTGTTTTAAGAAAAATCTTGAGATTTTCCTTAAAACAAATGAAAGTAGGTAAAATTATTATAATCAACTAAAATAAACATGGGGACATGTTTATTTTAGATGTTATGTTATGTTATGAAGATTCTTAAGGACTTGATGACACAATAATTTATAGTATACCTGTTGTAAACTTCTTGATGTTCCATGCCTGTCATCATCCCGAGAAGGTTGTCCTGACAATAACGGAGGAGGTGCCGGCCCGCCTGGCAACACTGGAGGTTTTATGTCGGCAGGTGGGGGCAATTCCACCTATAATAAAAAATCTTATTTAAATACACTAGAATTGCAAAGACGGTATAGATGTCACTCTGTTCAATGTCTGTCATCTGTCAGATGTCAAATTGCATACTTCCGCCCCCTCTTAGAACCCTTCCTCCATGACCCCACATGAAAATCATATGAACCCTCATATAATGATAAATAAGACTACCCGGGTTTTCATTTCAACTAAACTAAATTTTGCAAAATATTACCGATTTATGAAAAAAATAAATATACACTTTTGAATGAAGAATTTTTTAACGAAGAAATTAATAAAATTGAACGGAATAGTGATAATACAATTCAAACACGTCAGCTCCTGAAATATAAGTTATTATTATAAAAATAACTGAGATATCGGAAGCTGACGTCAGTTTCCATTTGCTATAGAGGGTCGTGACCTCTATGGCAAAAACTGTCTTATATTATTCCAGACCTGATCAACAATCTACCATTATCCCTTAGGAATGAGTCATCTCCAAAAAATGTCAAAGTCAGACTCAAACAACATTACTTGGCAAATATAACTAATCATTGATATACTACGTGTCAAGGCAATATTATTAATCAATTATTTCCGTTTACTTTGACAACAAAAATTTATTCTCCCAAAAACACCCACATGTCATACTGAACAACGATAGTCGGTATGACATGTGGGTGACATGAAATATTTGTTACACCGTTCCTTAAACCATGTATATACATACACATATATAATATACTATTATACACTACAGTACCCATTTCCAATATTATAACAGTTTTATAAACATCTAACAGTACCACATATCTAGCTGACTTGCAAACAGAACATCATACTGTAGATGCAGTTAACGTGGAATACAATAATAAAAAACCGTTTACCGAGTGGCGGGCGGTGGAGTTGCGACGCTGCCCCGTTTTCTTGCCACCTACCCTCTACAAACTTTATTATTTTTGTATCATATACTTTTGTTGCAATATGTGTGCCTAATCTAAAGTAAATACAGAAGCAACGCGCTGTTACAAGCCTGGGACTATGGCAAGCGAATGATAATCAGCAGAGTTGATAAAGCTAAAAGCATGACAAACAAACTTATTTATGCATTTACAATATTAGTTACGATAATGTAAAATTGACGACTCGTCTCACTATACTAAAATACTGTCATTGCACAATGACGGTAGGGCTCAAGTCATCTAACTGTTACACTGTTACACTTCAGAACATTTATTTATTTATTTTTTATTCATTTCAAAACTTTATACACAAAATGTACAATGGCGGATTTAATGTCGCAGGCATCCTCTACCAGTCTACCTTTTCATCTGCAATCAATCACTATTACTATTCTATCAAAATGCAGTGGTATACTGCGTCTTAATAATAACGGACTTCAATTATAAGACGGACTTCAATTATTTGATGATGGCAGATCGATCGGTATAAACATCATTTGACTACGGTTGAAGCGATATGAATAAACATAATAATCAACTTGGAATAACAATTACCTATAATTTAATCATTACTTCACATACTAGACACATCGAATACAAGGATGTCTGATGCTAACTAAGCAGTGCCTGCGCTATGGTAACCAAACTGCTGATAAACATACTTATACATGTGTATGTATGATTTAAATAATTTATATTCAGATGCAGAACTGCTCATCACACAATTATTTGTCCTGAATGGGGATATAACTTTTGGCTTAGCAGTTAGTTATTACTCTAGACCAGTCAAAAATGCTCGAGCATTTAAAAAAAGTGTATAAAATATTGACCTTATTCAATTAAAAGCCGGAAATCGTAAATAGTCTAGTCTCACTACTAGACTATTAATATAATAATAGTTTATTCCTAATTTAAAATTATTCAAGCAATTTACAGCTCAATCAAAATTTACCCTAAAGATTGTATTTACCTTATGTGCAGGCGGCGGCAAGTGAGGCGGGGGAGGAGGCCCCGCTCCTGGTGCGAACAATAGTCCACCGGCACCTAATAATGCCCCCGCGCCCGCCACTCCGTGTGACAGCCCCGCACTCGCGTGAATTTGTTGCTAAAAGGAAAATAGACGTCGTCACTTTAATGAGCAGTTAATGTTGTTTGAGGTTTTTTAAAAATTGCAGAATTAAAATTAATCACACAATAAAAACATAATAAAATATTGTCTAAGTTTTTAACGGGTAATATTTATACTAGTTTAAACATTTAATTGCAATTATGAATATTAATTAATTAAAAAAGGATGCTCGTTAGAGGTCACTCGTAAGAAAGATTGGCATTTTGTAACATTGAACAATAATTACATATTTTAATTGTTTGAATCAAAAGGACATATGTACAGACAGTAGTCGGGAGATTTATCCCAAATACCGCATTATTAGATTCGTCAAAGATACCCATACCAAAAAATCATGCAAGTCAAGATATGAGGTTGAACAGAGACCAATCATTTAGATACCCATTTTTAATGTTAGGTTATTGATATGTATAGATAGACCGCCAAAGCTGTGAAAGCGTCGAAAAAAATCGTGATCAACTGTTTGCCACTATTTTTAAGGCCACATACTGGTAAAGAACAATAACGTTACGCAAACGTTTCGCGAGAGTAAAAAGTAGCTCCCACGAACCAGTATAATAAAATTACCCGTTTGCTTTAGTTGTTTTGTAGTGCAACACTCCATCTAGGCAAATTAATATTCTAAGGCTATTTATTAATAATATTTTATATTTTTAGTTAAACGTAGAAATATGTTTTTAGGAAAATATATTTCTTGGTTAGATAGTATTAGATAACAATGGAGGCTCTTACTGCTGAATAAATGCAAGATTACCAAAATTTAATTGTACAGCGTTGTGCGTCCAATGTTAATGTTAATTTTTGAAATACAGTGAAAGTACCTCATTCATGAGGGATTATGTATCATGCTTTTATACTTTGGCGTTTGTATCCAGAAATAAGGAAACTTAAAATAAACTGTTACGTTAAGAAAACTTTTACTGTATTGCTTCAGATACGATATTACCCTATAAACATTATTATAAAGAGTTACTACATTCACTCACAGATCTTACACCTTCCCACAGTGTAAATATAATATTTCAATTCTAATTCTAAATAAAAAAATATTGAAAACATATCAAATATAATTTGACCCACTTTAAGCAAGTTTACCAACTAAATAAACAGTCAAAAGTCTAAATCAAGGCTCTGTTAGCCTTAACTTTTTATTATCTGTCTTTATATTTATTTAATACGAAAACTTATTATCTTTTACTCGCTGCAGATTCGGTCATAAACCACAAGTTGTTGCTAAAAGAAAAAATAAGGTCTGGGACAATGAATCTGTTGTAGAAATAGTAAATTAAGATTTTCTTTTGTCACCAGCCGTAAACACAGAGATATTATAACCAAATTATAACACGATAAACAACATTACTCTCTCTCTCTCTCTCTCTCTCTCTCTCTCTCTCTCTTTCTCTCTCTCTCTCTCTCTCTCTCTCTCGACAGATCAATATGTTTATTATGCTCCGACGACTTATGACTGTGTCTTCAGCAAATAATATATAACTTTAGGTAAATCACACTAAGATTTCTTTGTAATTGCGAATTTTATGAAAAAATTAAATGACACCTATGGTTTTAAACATTAAAATGATCTTTGTGTGCAGACAAAAAACACTTCATTTGCGTGACACTAACCAAAATTCTAGGAGCTGTCTAAAAAAAACTTTCTAACTCTGTTTATGTTAGAATACCAATTTAACAGTAACCAAAACATTAAATGTATGAAAAAGAAATGTGTTACCACAAACAAAGCAACAGTGACCAAGTTTATTAGAAAACACAATTTAGCATAGACATAAGAAGTATTTTTTGCACTGATGGGTACAAGCATTTGCAGAAAATAAAAAAAAAAATGTATAAAAATTACATCTGATCATAATAATAGGGAATATGCACGTGACACCAAAATGGACAAAATATTTTTATTTGTAATTTTTATTGCTAAAAAAAGATACCCATACAATTATTTTTGAAATTTATTATAATTTAATAGTGAAATTTAATGATCAAAAATTGGCTTTTTTAAGATTCCCTCGCAAATTTCTAAAACGCAACGCTATTGGTTGAATAAAACGTGACGTCAATCTACACTGTCAAGAGTGTCAACAAGTTGTGTGTATTTATAATATTTGGTTTTTGGTGATTATTTGTTTCATTTTAAGTTAATAACTAATACGTTTTCAGTGTTAAATTATTAAATTTCCGTGTAGAAAGACTCAACACAATGACTGAATATACTTTGTCAGGTGCAGTTTTGATATTATTTGGGCACAAAGGAACGGCACAATATTTATAATAAGTTTTTATTGGCTTTTCCATTGTAATAAGTTAATTTTTATCACTCACTTTTTTAACTTTCACAAACTTTGTGAACTTCACTCCGTTGTTGACATCGAATTCGTCTGAAAGCGTAATCTGACGTCACAAAAAAAAAGCGCGCCAAAATGGACGTGTTCAAATTGCCCCAAAATGATAGCGATTTTAATAAATTTCTTTTTGCTTAACGGTTTATATTTCGGATGTGTTATATTTATTTTTGGTAATGTAATAACTAGTAGAATCGTTTAAAAAAATAAAAAAAATACATGCATATTCCCTATTTGTACAAAACAATAAAATCTCGAAGCAACTGTTAGTTTCGTACTGCTAATATGTGCTATGGTATACTTAGGTATGTTTTTAAATTATATCCTCATTTTCAATTTTCACAACTGCATAATTTTACAATTAAAGACCCGTTATTTTTTATTTCACCATTAATTAATATAATATTTTTCGCTCTGTTTGATTCTTGTCAAAGCTATTCTTATTTTAAAACTAAATAAAATAAAAAAATGGACAGGCAGTCAACGCAATGCGTATGGCAACATTTAATTGGCTGTATATAAATAATAATAATAACTTTAGACATCTCTGAATAGCTTTATGCCTAGAAATATCTCGAAAAAGATTTACTATGAAAAATGCAAGGATCCTTATTCATATCTTTTCAAAGTTCGTTATAATTTGAATTTCAAAAGTAGTATATAATATTAATGTGACACAGACATCAATCGCGTCTTAGGTGCAACAACTGAATTGAATGAAAGTAAAGTTGTTAGGGGGGTATATACATAAGTAACTATAACCGAAACTATCGGATATCTGAAATAAAAGTCTAACCGAAACTATGTGTGATCGATTTAAAAATTTCGAATAATTTCGGACAGGGAGCTATGGTTATTATTTTTGTTAATTATTGTTATTATTATTAATTAGCCGTATAAAGTTATTTTTTGGCTTTTGACATTTTAGTTTTTCCCTTTTATAAATAGATAATATTACACTTCTTAATGAGTAGCTATTGTAATAACCTAAAACCATTAATAGAAATCAGTAAAATTATTTAAGGTTAACAAACTCAAATGTTTGTGTGAATAATGGGCACCTTCAAGTTTTTGGTACCTATTTACAAATGGCTGAGGCATTTCTGAAGCTTTAAATTATAGCATTATAGATACCAGATAACAAGTTCCATCAGCATTGTATATTACAAGAATCCATGGTGTTCACGAAATGTTAAAAAGGATTAGTAGTAATAGATACGTGAGAAGGACATCTTAATGCAGGTACATAAAATCTTTGTACCTATTCTGACCTTTACCTATAAGGATAATTTGTTTTGTGACTTTACTGCCAAATGGTAACTCAGAAACTAAACGTAAGGCGGATTGTTAGACGTCTCGAATTTCCCGGCAATTGACCTGGCATCAAAGCCCATTGCTTAAACTTTTCATATAGCTTCGTTACTTTATAACGGTGCTAATTCTGTGGTTCGAAAACTCTCTAAACTAAACTAAAAATCACTAAAAATTAGTGTAGTCCTGTCAAACGTTTCGTATTCTGAAAACACAGGACTAAACTCACTTTTAGTGATTTTCATTTTAGTTTCGAGTTTTCGAACAACAGAATTGAACTTCGAACAGCACCATCGGCTTCCTTTTTAACTATATTTCGTTTCCAATGTACTCCTAATAAGCCTAGCTTTATTTCCCAAAGTTCCTGGTTGTCGTGTATTACGTGGGGGACGAAATTATAGTTGTTAATAGCTCTGGTGGGCATATAGGCATGACTGTTCATGTAAATAAAGGCCAATCATTACCTATCGGTATTTTCCTGTTACAGTTTCTTAAAAGTGTAATATTCGTAACCGAAACTATCAAAAACTCTAATATAATTTGATATCCATAACCGAAAGCCATTTTAACATTACTCAAGTATTCGTATCTTCATCATCAGCCTATCGCAGTCTTCTGCTGGACATAGGCCTCTCCCATTCATATACAGATCCGAAATTTTGTATTTGTAATACTCCTTAATACAAACGTTACAAGTGCGGTTTTAAGGCCGAGTACACACTAGGAAACGTCTCATCACGTATCATGAAACTTCTTTAAATTCAAGTCAAATATACAACATGTCTCATTCTACTCAATCTTATATTAAATTGTTTTTTTGTGAATTTAATGGTAATACTGTTTGACTGGTAGGTATTTCTCTTTTTTTTCTAGATGTTTAATATACGAGTATCTATCAGCTAAATAGAAAGATGGATGCAAAATCTTGTAAGGGTTTCCTTGCAGTAAAGTACTTGTACGCAAGAAAACGTTTCTTAGTATTGACCTGTCTTAAAAAAAATACGGCAAATTATGTTTTCCAATTACTGTGACATAACTTATGTTAAACGCTTGTGGTTTATGTTTAGCTTGTGCATTCTCTTGATTGGCATCGTTTTATTACTATTGCTTACATTTGATCACGTTATAGTAATAGGTTTACAGTAAGAATGCAAATAAAATACGTCTGAAAGTAATGATTACAAAATTAAGATGGTTGAATTTTCTCGATTTTGTATAGAGTTATTGTTGAAATTGTTATATGTTTCAAGGAGAAGTAAATTTTTTGTTTTTTTTAATGGTATATGGGGCAAATGAGCACAAGGTAAGTGACTACCGACGTTGAAAGTCTTGAGTGCCTTGGCCAGAATTGAAATGCAACGAATGAATTTACTTAACACAGGTTTTCTGTTTCCTATTACTTACTAGAAATACTCGGATCCGGTCCATCTATTTCGATCGACTATACTCGATTTGATTCCTTGATTTAGATTTTTTATAACATTTCTTGGTTACGAAACGCGGAGGCGACAATAGAAATAATAAAATAAATAAATTTTCACTACCTATCCAAAATCCTTTAAACCCATCTTAAATATTTAAATGTTTCGCGGCATGCTGAAGATATTAGGGGCTAATAGAACATATCTGCTATATTTTAGTCCCAGTCATTGATAAGGTCTACAAGTTTAGCTTAAGCAATCAACTTAAGTCTTAAGCTATCTTAAATGTGTATAGTTAGTCCAAAAGCGCTTGATCAATGAATGTTTAAGATTGCATATGTTTAACTTTGAGTATGTATGGTTATTTGCAAAATCAAATTTGTTGTAATCATCAACGAATCAAAGGTAAATGTAATAAAAATATTAAATACTTCACTCAATACTTAATGGATTTTTGATAGATATTTATGTCTAACCCAGTTAATTGATGGCCATAATATAATTTAATATTTTGTAAGTAATGTAAATTTTCTAGTGATCACAATTAATGAAAATTAATGGAGAATACTTGTTGTCGAATCGACTAGAAGGAATGAATACTTCTAGAAGTCTGATCCCATCGGTAGAACTCTTTCTTACAAAATATGATTATATACAAGATACTTAAAGAAATTTAAACAATGAATGGCCTAAGTTCCATGGCAACTTGACAGATTTGTAACTAAGGTTAACTAACTAAGGAAAACTATTGTTAACATTCATTCTACGATGGTTTGACTCGCCGTGAGTAGGCATCGCTGGCACGCCCCTATTTACGGCACTGCACCTTGACAATGTCATCAACTACTTAGAAGACACTTTTTCTTACATTTACGGAGATACTATGATGTTTATTAGACCATAAGGGAAAGTACCCCTACTACATGACCCGTTCAGGGGAAGGAGGGGGACCAAGGGGGATCTTCAAAATACCACGCTTCACGCTTAAATGGTCACCTTTAACCAGTTAAATTCTCCAACTATACCAACCATTTAGCTGACCTCATCAGAACAAAACAAAATACAAAAAAAGTATGCGTTTAGGTTTAATATTATTTGTGTAATTAAAATTATTTGTGTCTTAATATTTCTACTAGCTAACATTTATAGAAACAACACATTTGCACAACACAAAGGTAATATAATCTAATAACAACTTAAAATATATGAATCAACTGTCTAAACAATGAAAACGCCAAAGCCAGTATGACCAAATGACAATACATGAAAATAATTTGTAAATAATTTTTTAAATGGCAACACAAAATAATGGCTAAATGTTAATCACAACATATATCATGTACCAAGCACAGTATGTCTGGACTTACAAGCAGTTGCTGCAGACCCTGCTGTTGTTGTTGCTGCGGACAACATTAACAATATATATGCTGTGTGGACTCTGCCTGTTACTAAATGACACCTACCATATACATCCATAAAAAATATACTCTTACATTTTGTAAACTATATCACATATTATTTATGTATATTTTCATACCATGTATCACTCATTATTAAAAAAATATCTTGATGAATATCACCTCTATATACCCCAGGAGATTTGAATAAGTTTAGAATTAGAAACCCATGTCAGGGTTACCTATAGCAAATAATGATTCCGATTATTATTTCTAATTATTGCGTTTGATGTAAAGTTGGAGTCACTTATTATGCTGTATCGCTGCGTTCAGTGTATTTATCTAAACAGTATCAACTGCATATTTAGCAGAAAGCATTTATACGTAGATGTAAGAGATTTAGTTTGTTAGTTAAGTGCAGCATATAAATATTTTGCGTTAAACCTTTTACAAAGATTTTCTTAAGAAATATACTGTATGTTGTACCTTGTACTCTAAAGGTGACTAAGAATTGGTAAGAACTGCAGTCACCAGGGTAAAACAGAAATAAAATAAGCAAAAACAAGAAATGGAGTAGATTAATGAAAAATCTGGAAACACTAAAAGCATTTTTTAAATTATTTTCTCTCTTTAAAAAACTGTTAGAAAAAATTTTGAACACAAGTGACAGCACTACAATTGTAAAAACACTATTACTTACCCCAATTATAGCATTCAATTCTGACATTGTAACTTGTTTAGCTCTCTCGACAGCAGACGCCACTTGCTGCTGATGCTCTTGAGCTAAAAACGGGAGCACCTGCCCTATTATAGCACTTAGTCTTTTTGCTATTTCTGTCTGCAAATGGAAAGTAAACATTAAGATCTATTCTTTTTAAACAAGTAAACTATGTTTATAGATATTTACCTGTTTATGCATCTCTACATTTAGTCCATAAGACATTTCATAATACTGGAAAAAGAAACAATCAATTATACACAAGAATAAGTAAAAGTGGTAGTTAAGTGTTTGCAATTGCAATGCAATTTACAGATGTACCAATAACAATAAAAGTTAAAATTGTCTATATCCTGTTTACTGTTTATCTATCAAATAATTTCAGTGGCAATTTTGAATTCAGTTTCAAGATAGATTAAATGAATTAAAACCATTAGACCTTACAATACAATTATATACTATTTCTTACACAAAAATATTTTTACTTGACTGGCAAGGAAAGGTACATGACCTTTTAATAAGTTTAGCATTATTGTACTTAGCAATCTTAACAATTTTCAAATATTTAAATCAAGTCTTTCTCCTAGTATAGCAAGTTATCTATCATCATCAGCCTATCGCAGTCAAAAAATTATCTATATGTATATTTAATTAGCTGTATGATTATGTCCACAAAACATCTAACCTTAAACCTGATAAAACATAGCCTATAAGGCAAAAGGTTTCAAAAAATTACCATAACATAATGCCTTTGCATTTCTGTCTTCTCACTGGCTAGTTTTTCACATTCCAATTTCAAACTGTAAACAAAGATCAAAATGAAGATAAGCATGTTGATAACTATGGATCAAATTTGCACAGATTAGGAATGTAAATAAAGCTTATTTGTATACTCACGCATGATATTGAGTTTGTAAAAAGTTGAACTCTTCCTTAATGCGCTCCAAAGTGTCTGCTATAGTAAACTTTATAGGTCCTGCTGGAGGCTGAGGTCCCTATACAAAAATAAGAAACAATAATAAGATCTTAACAAAATCTGCTTCATGACAGATGTTTGATATTAAACATGAGCTACAATTACAATAGAAAAAGAACACAAACCCTTACCGCGGCCGCTGGGTGCCGCGTAGCCGTTGGATACATCTTAGTAAAATCTATTCTAAGGAATCCTCTAAACACAATCAAATATAGTTCTCTTTTGATCCGTTGGCTAACACCATCGGAATCATTTCATATAACACTGGTGACCGCTGCTATAATACACCAAACACCGAAGAGCCCGACTTACGCGCTAACGACAATGATATGCACAAACTTTGCCTCGAAACTTTTGAATTATCGGTCATTATATTGACATTAACTACTTTTAAGTACGATTATTAATCACCATATAAACAATGAGACTGACTGTAATACTAATTTTCAAGAACGATCAACAGATTTTCACAATTTTTTTAACCATAAATCCACGCCGTAATTTTTGTTCGGCTGTCATGTCATCCATCATCATTCATCACAGAATGGCATTCTCGAAACTGTCATATTTGAAACTAGTACATTGCTCGCTTCGCTTGTAAATAAAAAAATCTGGTGGTTTTAATGTTATCGAGAATATCAACCTTAGTTTTTTAATGTTTTTAAGAAAAACGGATCACTGTCTCATAAAATTACAATTTTAATACAAATTATTGACCTTTAAATGAATTTAATCAATAATTACCATATAATAAACTGATCAAGTAGTCATTGAATAATGTAGCTATTGCATTTGTATCGGTTATTGTTTCTGGGGATATCTAAAAAAGCTCTGCTGACCAACTTGAGCCATCCCATGAAACTTATATTTCACTAGGGTTTATAGTATGATAAGTTTTCCATTGTAGAACATGTACACTATTTCAAGCAATTTATGTTAATTGTAAACACATAGCTTCTTACTTTAACATGTATGTAAGCCTTGGAACCGGATCTACCCTATAGCAGAACTTCTTGAGTCATAATGTTATTCCGCCTAACAGCCAATATCATAAACTTCATTTCGCAGAACACTTCACTCATTTATCATACATTGAAAACTCATAATTTTGTAAGACAGACAGTATTCTTTAGGCATAAATTCCCTAACCATAATAATCAAAAAGTAGAACCGTAATCATCAAGTAATAAAGCCACCAACAATAGAGGGGAACTTTACTTAAATTTGCCAAATACTTTTTTGCCATCTTAATTTAAAAAAAATGCCTTAAAAACCTTTGTTTGAAGAAGATCATATCAAGTGTGTTATGTCAAAACAATTAAAATTAAGATTCTGCCTCTGAGTGGGCAACCATTGGAACCACTTCTTTATTTCTAAGTGCATACCTACATGTCACATTTCATAATTCTTAGAAAAACTAAATGAAGGCAAGTATTAAAGAACAAAACAAGGACAGCTATAATGATTTGCATCAGGGATACTTACATGTACAGACCTATACCTAAATCTTGCTCACCACAATTGAGATATTCTACGCAAGTTTTGAAGTGAAGTGAAGAAGACTTTAATTCATTATGCAACTGCATATTTTCTCTATCCTATGAATCCGTTGTCTAGTTTGCCATTCCTTACTAAAGAAAATCATTAATTTGTCATACTAAATGTAGTTCCGAATAGAATTTAATCACAGTTAACACATTCTTCCATGAAAAGAAATTGGAGATAAAATAAATACTTTCAATCAAACCCCTAATTATTTCGATTTCGTAACTTTCGACAAATAAAAAAAAAACAGAAATTGTTTGGTTTCTTTTATCAAAAAAAGATGATGCCATTAAGTTGATTTTCATAAAGTGTAAATATTGGAGAACTGCTGGAACTGATAAAAGTATCACAAAATGAAAATATCAGCATTTGTCATAATAACGGAATGCTCATCTTGTCAGTTTGACATTACTTAGATATCAAAAGACACATACCCAGATTCTGAAAGTTTCTGTTAAACAATAAAGAAAGTATTCTTGTATTGTAATCTTGTCTGTGGTAATTTTTTAAATGGCAGAATTGGCAGATTGTCGTCGCGCTGCAGCTGTTTGCAAGCGAATGAGTTAGCAGTGTCGAAGTGTTTTGAAATAAACTGATTGGTTGCTTTGTATAAACGTGATTAAGTGCATTTTCAATGATTATATTCAGAAGAAAGTGCTGTTCCTGAAGTGAAATTGTTTTTGTGAGTTTTTTCATAAGTATCAAAGAGAACCATCATGGATTTCAAAACAGTCGTTTTCAACGCTGCACGAGATGGAAATCTTACGCGGCTGAAAGTAAGTATTTAACAAAATTATTTAGTGTAATCCATAAATAAATTTTAGATATTTACTCTGTGATCGAATTAAAATTTACGGTAAACATCAAAATCTAATTAGATTTCTTCTATCCATAACTGTAGTTATTACAGTTACTTCCACGTCTAAATTCTTGAATGGTTGTAGCTTGATTTTGATTCAAATACTTGTTCAGTTTTCTTTTTAACTGTTGTAATTCTTGTCCAGGTAAAGGCACATGTTCTTCTTTTGTACTATCGCTGTTACGCCTTCAGAAATAGTAGATCTTGCCTAGCTACGTAAGAAGTTATCGTTACCGGGAAACCCTCAAATTGCGTCCTATTTTTAAAAATGGAATCATATATTTATGTCGTGCCGCTGAATAACTTTGTTGATGTCTGAAAATTTCCTATTTAATAATATTATCAATGTAGTTATCTGAAAGTCAATATTGTACAAATAAAATGTTGATAACATTCAAGTATTCTGTGAAATATTAATTTATTACATGATTGATGAATTAAAATACGATTTCAAATTAAAAAATATGACAAATACTTTCCTATAAGATATGAGAATAAAGAGTTAAAAGTAAAGAAGTCCTATAAGACAACTTTAAGTATTAAAAAGAAATTTATCATTTTCATTTGTTTTTTTTTTTGTAGAATTATCATTTGGCAAGTTTTAAGAAAAAATTATAAAATTAAAAGGAACTATAATACTATTACATACTACCTACATTCAGTAATACATATCAAATTTATAAGATTAACCACATTTAAAGCTTTTTTTAATTCTATCAGTTGAAAACACAACCATGACTTTTGATTTGTTGTTTTCTATGTAAGATGATTATAGTCTCCTACAGGCTATAATTTTTCAACATAAACATAAAATATGTAGTCTAATGCAATTACCAGATGTCTATTTCTTTAATTTATTGATCCAGATATGCAATATACCTTTTCCTCTATTATTTACCTACTTGTTTCCATATTTAAATCTAAAAGTGCTTGGCAATAGGTAAAATTATTGTATTCCATGAGTGAAACCAATTTATAATTTAGTTTCATATGTCTCTGAATACTTCTTCATGGATGTCTGTTATTTACTATTAGCATTATCAAACAAATTTTTTTTTAAATTTCCATACTTTCTACTAAATAGTAGAAATTTTCAACTAGAAGCAATAAAATCCTTACTTTTTTATGTTGCCATACATAGATAAAACTGCATATTGTATGTTAAACAGTCACAAAAAAGCCTTCAAAGATAATTCACTTTTAAAGTAGAGTACCTAATTAATGTCATTTTTAGAAATAAATGCCTGTTGTTGACTTTACTGTTTAAAAATTAAGACTTGACCTAAAACTTTTATCTGTTCAAGTATTGAAATAGACTATTGCATAAGTGGCAGTAAAATCTAACAATAATAGCTGTAAAAAATTGGCAATTTGTGAGGTACTTTTAGAAGCACTTTAGTGAGTTTTTACACAATACGGTTAGCACTACCAGGTAGCAAGAGTTCTCAAGGTTACTTACTCTTTATGAAATAATAGTGTATGAAATATAAATAAACAGGTTTGATCATTGTTTAATTATTGCATAACATGAGATGTCGATATTTGTCAAAAGAATTATTTTGTTCATTATCTTTACAAAACATATTGTTATCTTTCAAGTCAAACTTTTTGTAGTCAATTTATAGATTAGACTAAAGTATTTATTGTTCCAGTAAATAGACACCTGAAAGTCATAGTGTATGTATTCACACACCTTAACCTTTTTACACAGTTTATTTGTCTAACAAACCTCGGGCCCCTAGTTTGTAAGATAATTTTGATAAGAATTAACATCACATATTTAAATCATGCATTACATCACTCCTATTTGCCTGTTGTTTGTTCATAGTTCATAAAATAGAGAAACAAAATTGGCATAGTGCTTAATGGTTATATCCTATGGAAACTTTTAGATACTCTTGTTGTTTGTTCCTGTATAACTAAGTGCCTGATGCTAAACTCTCCTTGGAAATATATCCAGAAGTAAATTATAATGAAAAAAAGTAAAATAATGTAAAAGTAAGTATGCTCTTACAGTTTGATGTATGAACAATTTGGTGAGAGAGTGCACAAACATAAAATGTATATGGTTTCCATCTGGCTTATCAGATATGACACATATTTCCTGATATTAAGTATTTTGCACTGTATTTTATGACATGTATTAGCTAACATTTTTACAAAGTAGGCCTCATAAAGGGCTAGACGGTATCATTCCAGTGTCAAAGGGAAATGGTTCATAAATCTTTACCAATTTAATTGAATTCGGATGGATGAATTAACGGATGAGGTAGAAGGATACCTTTGCATTGCAAGCAGGCAATACAAATTCATTTCTAATTGTTGCAAACTATTATGCTTTCTAAGTTTCAATGCTAAATTATATTGTCTGCATTCACAACAATAATTTCAGCTTTAATTAATGCTTTTAAATATTACCACATACTAACATAATATTTTAGTATTATGTAATTAAAATTTTATTTTTAAATTAATATTATTTAAATAATTTGACTGTGTATGCAGTTAACATGGTCTAGATGATTCCTAGTGCTTCGAATATTGTGGGTTGTACCATGTTGTTTTAGTGCTAAAGTGTTTCCTTTTTTTATTAAGTAATAGGAATAAAATGAAAAAAATAAAGACTTTATAGGCAATATGAGTTATTGGTATTGGTTGCGAGCTCCGGTTTCCGCATTTGGACTCAATAATGGTTCTTTATGTGTCGAGGAAACTAATTCCAGAAGCACTGAAGTTCTGGGGGCATTCACAGGCTTATAGGAG